GCCCCCAACCCACCCTCCCTGCCTCTCCTCACTGCCAACCCCCTCGCAGGAAGGCCTTCCGAGCCGTCGCCCAAGCGTGTGCAAAGCACCTCCCGCCTTACCCGTAGAGCCGCCTTCGTTCAGTAGGGTTGTAGCTCACAGCAGGCCCCCCATTAGCCAAGCTGCCGGCCTTGTAACAGGGGGCAGAAGAGGCGGAGGTGGGGGCGGGGCGGGCAGGCAGCGGCGGCGGCTTCCTGCCCCGGAGAGGCCCAGCAGGAGGACTAGCAGCGAGAGCGAGGCCGCCACGGCCAAGCCCGCCACTGCCGGGAGCGCCCAGGCCCGACCCCCGTCGGCGCCATCCCCTTCCGCCGCACTTCGTCGTCGCCTCCCATGCTGCTGCTGCCGCCGGCGCGACGGAGGCCACCAGCCCCAGCCGGGGGCCGACCCGCCCCGAGACATCCAGGCCTGACGCGACGCCGCCGAGGCCGCCACCAACGCCCCCTCCCCCCCGCCGCCGCTCCGCGCGCGCGGCCCCGTCCCTTGCCCGGCATGCACCGCGCGAGGCCGAGGGGACGGGGCTGGGGAAAGAGGGCGGCCCTTCGCCGCTGAGGGGAAGGCGGGAGCGCGCGGGACCGGGGGAGAGGGGGCGGGGTCGAGGAAAGCAGGCGGCCTCGGGGAGGATGACTGGAAAAGGGAGGGCCGAGGCGGGAGGAGGCGCGCGTACTGAGGGGGAAGCCAGCCTGGGGGTCGGCCGGCTTCGCCTTCCGCTTAGCCCACCTCACAGGGTTGTTGTGAGGAGGAAACGAGCGGAGGGAGGGGAAAGGGGGCCGCACGCGTCGACCTCGCCTCAGTCATTCTCTTTTCGGCCCATCTCGCAAGGCTGTTGTGAGGGAGAGGCCGCCGGGAGAGGGAACCATCCACGTTAAGCAGCCGGAGGATTGAAGACCGCAGAGAGTCGCGCGCGTTGAGCAGCGGACCGAATCAAACGGCTTTTTGGCGCTACGGGTCGGCCGCGGGGCGTGGGGGCGGGAATGGCGCATCCTGGGCTGTGATTGGGAAGGACGGGAATGATTGACAGGGGCAAACGGCTGAAAGACTGGCTGAAGCATCCCTGTTATTAAAACGATGTTTGAGTCCCAACGGCACCTTCTAAGACCAACGTTTTATTCAAGGTATAAGCTTTCGTGTGCAAGCGCACTTCCTCAGATACAGTGAAACAGAGTTTCCTCAACCATCACATATAGAAGGGGGGAGTTAGTTGCCAGCAATGGCCAATTAGAGTCAAGTCAGAGAAACAAAATTGGCAATTACCGGTCCATAAATATAGGTAGCGGGCGAGCAGTGAATTATTATATAGCACAATGAAGATGTTTAACAGATACAAGGATCAAACAGGAATAAGAACCTTAGTTTATATGGTAACCATTTATTTGGGTTCAGTTCTGGGGCAAAAAACAGTGAAGGAAATAAATGTCAAAATTGGAGATTGACATTTCCTTAATTGTAGAAGGCTGAGAGTAATTGATTATTTAATTACATTACTCTTAGCCAGGGCATTTTTTGTTTGTTTGTTTTGGAAAAGAGGTGCTGGAACTCTCAAGAGGGAAATGAAGTTTTTTTGTATATTGAAAACTCATGAACCTGACGTTTAAAGATTTTTAAAGGAATTTTGTTGAAGAGGTTCCAGAACTCCATTCTGGCGTGTTCTCCCAGAAAAAAAGCCCTGCTTTCAGCATTGTTTAACTACATTAGCATTCTACAATTAAGGATGCATCAGTCTCCAATTTTGACATATTTTATTTCAATGTTTTTGCCCCAGAGCTGAACCCAAACAAATGGTTACCACATAAACTAAGCTTATCTATTAAACAACTTCATTATGCTGTATGATAATTCACTGCTACCTATAGGTATAGATCGGTAATTTCCAATTATTTTCTATCTCTGACTTGACTCTAACTGGCTCTTCCTGGCAACTAAACCCCCCACACTGTTGTCTGTTTCAGTGATCTACAGGTCGAGAGTAGGGGTTTTTGGCAGAGCTTCCAAAGAAAAATAAGGTAAGGCAGTGGAGGAGTTCTCCAGGTGGCAAGTAAATGTTCCAGAAAAAGAAAAGAGTTGGCAGCCTTTGTCAGATACCAAAGGGAGCTTTGATTCTCAAAAGCTTATACCCCCAAAATCTTGTTGGTCTATAAGGTGCTACTGCACTTGAATCTAGCTGTATGTACATCAGTTTCTGTTGAAGGTACAGGAAATACATTCTTCAATCCAACCACTGAGGTGTGATTGCTAGGATTGATCTTTCCCTTCCACCTTCCATTCTCTTTCTCTCTCATTTCTTCACAGACAGTATTATCCACTGAAGGTGCCCCCCCCCTTTCCCTTTACAAAAACACAAAAACAGCCCTGTGCCTCCTAGGAACTTGTTCACAGTTGCCACAAAGACAAGCAGGACGGACTGACTGAACTTGAGAACTTAAGCAGCTTCATGATTCTACCTGTCAGCCCTGGAGGACATGGTCATTGCTCCTTCCAGGAAATCCTGGGGAGGCTTGAGCCTCAATGCCCCCCGTAATTTACACCCCTGCTTTCTGTACATTACCTGAAATGGGCTCTAGCCTGCAGAAGCTTTTACCTCAAGAAATCCACTAAGCAGCCCTCCTCTTCTTAGGCTGCTGCCACACACGCTAAGTAATCCACTTTCAATCCACTTTCAGTGCACTTTCAAAGTGGATTTTGCCAGTTCACACAGTAAAACTCCACTTTGAAAGTGCACTGAAAGTGGATTGAAAGTTGATTACTTAGCGTGTGTGGCAGCAGCCCTAGTTGGTTTTTTTTTTGAAGCAGATTAAAACTGCAACCCTGAACATACTTCTGAAAGCCTGACTCCCATTAAACCTGTGTCAGCCTGGGATTGGCCAAATCTGGGTTCAAATCCCCCTTCAACCCTGAAAATGACCTGGGGGCAGTCACTCACATCCTAACCTGCCACCATACCAGATCATTAAGATTTTTTTTTTTTTTAAGTTCAGAGAAGAAGACAGCTTCTTTGGTAGAGTATCAGCTTTACCTGCAGAAGGTCAGAAGTTCAACCTCCAATTAGAAGGACCAGGTAGGAGGCAAGTCAAAGAACTCCACCTGAGACCTTGGAGAGCCACTCCTAATCAGAGTAGACAATACAGACTTTGATAAGACCATTGATCTGACTCAATATCAGGCAGTTTCGGGTATTACAAGTGGGAACTTGTGTGCACCTTTGAGGTCCTTGGAGGAAAGGTAAAATAAAAATGTGAATGGCTTAACAGGACTTACTTCTGAGTAAACCTTTTCAGCATTACCATGCTATCCTTATAGCCCTCTAGAAACATTTGCAAGAGGTTTATACTAGTTTATGCAGGAAAAGAGGGAAGGGGGGGGGGCAAAAGAAAAAGCAGCCGCAATTTTGAACCAATGTGCACCCATTGTCTACAGTGTGGACACTAAACCTCTGAATCCCAGAGCCAGGAGGCAACATCAGGGGAAGGCCTTGGCCTCTATGCCCTGCTGTGGGCTGTCCAGAGGAACTGTTTGACCACTGTGTGAGATGCTGGACTAGATGAACCACTGGTCTAACCCAGCAGGGCTCTTCTTATGCCCTTAACAGACTCCTTTTACTTGGCTCCTGAAGGAGAGATCATGTAGGTAGGACTCTACAGCTTACAAGAACTGGACAGCAGAACAAGGATTTTCAGGAATATACCATACTTCCCAGCAGTAGCAAGCCAGAGGCCAGGGAACCTCACAACCAAGCCAAGATACCAGTTGAGACTGGCTGTTCCTTTTAAAAAAACAATTTCATCCAGACATTAGCAACACATACAAAGCCCGTGGGAATATACTGTTTCAGTGTCCTCTTGCCAATCCTCATGTTTTCCCCGTCCATTATTTCTAGCTTCTTCCCATGGCAGGCTCCATTTACGGCTAAACAGCCAAACCTAGCTTGGCTCATCCTTTTGAGACTTTCTTCCTGGCAGTCTGTGGAAATCAGTTACATCTATTTGCAGGCTTGCCTGCAATGCAGTTTAGTCGCGGAGACAGCTGTAAGAACCTCTTCATCAACTTAACCAGATGAAGTATTTACCAAATTAGTTAAAAATGTTAAGTATTCATAGTAACTGCAGGTGCCAACCGATGTTCCCTCTAAGCTTTGGAGTCTTGTGAGCAAACATTCTACTTTGTGAGCTACTGGCATTAAAGCTGTGAGCGAGCGATTTGGCTGCTGTATAAATTAGTTTGCTCTGGAGCCATCCTTCCTGAGCTAAGACAAAAACGTGTGAGCCAGAGGCTAAAAAACTGTGAGCTAGCTCACACTAAATCACCTTAGAGGGAACACTGGTGCCAACCCCACCTTCTTCCTAAACAGAAGTGCCTCTGCAAAGGCTGTATGCCAACAAGCACACCTGTTGGTGGAAAGTGCCATCAAGTCGCAAGTAACTGACAGTGACCCCACAGGATTTTCAAGGCAAGAGACATTCAGAGGTGGTCTGCCATTGCCTGCCTCTGTGTAGCAACTCTGGACTTCCTTGGTGGTTTCCCATCCAATTACGAACCAGGGCCAACCCTGCTTAGCTTCCAAAACCTGATGAGATCAGGCTAGCCTGGGCCATCCAGGTCAGGGCTAAGCACATCTAGCTAGAGATAAAGTATCCTTTCCCCCCGCTGCTTAAGCTATTTTTGTTTTATTCAGATTGAAGAGTCAAAAGAGGAGGTCTGCAGAAACATAACAAAGTGTTTCTATCATCTTTGTCAGCCAGAAGCCTCTAGGAAAGCCTGTGTGTGTGAGAAATGCCTCTAACATGGGTCCGCTTCCTGCAGTTTAAAAAAGATTCAAATACAGTTAACTTACAAAATCAAGGTACAACCCTGGGATGGTATGAAACCCTTCTAACTGAGCCTGAACCTTCTGCTGCCATTTTTTAAAAAAAGAGTAAGCTAGTTTTTGTGATGCTTTTCTGTCCTTTTCTAGTCATCCCTTGCACCAGTTTTCCTTCTGTCGTGGCACACCTGTGCTAACTACTGTTTCCCATAATGACTCAAGCACGGTGTGTAAAGTCACGGTAGGCACGCCTTCAAGGGTGGTGGGAAGAGCTAATACTATGTCTCGATTTTGTAGCAGTCTCTCAAAGTATGTCTGCTGTTAAGACAAAGGGGCTTTGACATTGAACATAAGGCCGGGGGGGGGGGAGCACTGTTGTCCGCTGACAGTCCGTGGCTGGGAGCAGGGTCATTCCGTGTACCAGCTGCCCACGTTGGTATGGAGTGCATTCTGGCTTGGGGAAAAGTTGACTCCTCCCTCTCTGGTGCGGGTTGCTTTAGCACACTAAATTAGCGGCTGCACCTTCTGCTGTTGTGATCATGTTGGAAGATTCCTCTTGGTCCCATGGCAAGACCGTTGATGTATACCGAAACAGAAGCAGTGACTCGGCAACACGAGAACAATAACTGGGTTGAAATATTTATTTAAAAATTGAAAACACACATTCAACATATTATACAAAAAAAATCCTTGTATTTAATACAATAATTAAAAGTTTTGTTGGAAGGGGGGGGGGAAAGAGCTGGCTGCCTGGACCGATTGGTGGGGGCCCAAAGCACATGGTGGGTGGATTCAGTCGCTTACAGGGAACTGCTCTAATGAAAGTTTGTTCACCACCACCCCCAGATTTAAGAAAAGTAAAAGGAAGAGAAAGAGCAAGCGTTGAGGAAGAAGCATTCTATTCCAAGCCAAAATGGCCCCTTTCTGCTAGTGTCATGGCAAACTTCTCCAGCTGGTCCTCATCCTCTTCCTTTTTGCCCCCAACGTGTGTGGCAAATCAGCCTGAAAACCTGAGGTAGTATAGGGGCATGGGGGGGGGGGAGTTGGGGTGTCCCTGGAAAAGTCTGAGCTGCTGGGAGGGGTCAACACCACATCAGCTCCTCTCCCTGTGCTATGGCAACAGGGTGGTTCCTATTGCTTCGGAGAGGATGGGCAGCCGAGAGACCTCATTCGAGCTGGCGGTGGGAGGAGTGCTATTTGGTTCTTGGTCTGCCAATCAAGTGGCAGGAAGGCCTGGGGTATAACAGGCACCAGGTTGTTAGGCTATCTGAGCAGTGGAGGCTGGAGTGGGTAGGCAGGTAATCAGAGATCCTCAAGGACTGGGAAAGCGGAACGCTCCCCCTGCCCCGGGATGGCAGTGTGCGACAGGCAGGCTTCTCATCGAGTAACCTGGGGGGGGGGGGCACGAGGGAGCCTGGCATGGACTTGACATCGTCAGAGGCCATGACTCCTTCGTCAGCAAGTAATAGTACCGCAAACTAGACCTTTCCTGCTCACCGCAAGGCAGAACCACAGCTAGCCCACTCTCCTGTCCATTTTTCAGCTTCCTGTGTGCATTTCTAAAGCTTCTGGATAAATGAGCAACGCTTGCTACATACAAACCTTCTCAGATGAGGCAGCTCGCTCCAAGGTGTAGCTTGCTAGGAGGAAGGGGGTTAAGGGCACATTGCTCAGTGTACTCCTGCTAGGTTTTCTGACCTGAATTCTTCCCACCCCATGGCTGAAATAGACCATTGGGCCTGTAGAAACCAGATCTGGGGTGGGCGCTATCCAAGGCTGCAAGACGTTATATGCAGCTTCAGGCTGATGTTAACCCTATCTGGGATGCGGAACTAGGAAAGACCACCCAGGATTCTGACCTTAGAAGGTCTGCACCAATTTGTTTTTTTGGCAGGGTGGTGGGGGAATCAGGCCATGGGGGAAAGTAGAGTCTCCCTGCCCAGATGTTCTCTGGCCACTAATGGTGCTGTCCCAGCAAGGGAACACAGGGAGGAAGATATTGCCGCCGTTTTGACAGCCGTTGCTGCAGCTCTGAGGAATCGGCTGCCGGGCAATCCTTTTTATTCAAGGTTTCTTCTACTGTACTTTACCGGCAAGTCCAGCCAGATGCAGGTGGCCGAGACTTTCCCGAGGCCTCTCTGCACAGCAAGAGCTGGGTTGAAAAATGTTACTTCACATGCTTAGGGCACCAGCATTGAATTCCTCCCCGTGTTCCCTCAGGAGCCAGAGTGAACAAGGCCATGGCGTGTCCCACCCCTGCACACACACCCCTCTTCTGGGTAGAAGGACATTCTTCGCTTACTCTGCAAGTCACTCAAGCCGTGAGCCGTCGTCTTCCCTTAAGAGGGTCACAGTGATCACGAGGTGCCGGAGGCAGCTCAGCCCGACTGCATCTAATTGCAAGTAGCAGTGAGAAAGAGAAGCCAAATCTCAGTTAGAACCCAGGCTCCATCCTAGATTCTTCCTTGCCCGCTTCTCCCTGGCTCTGATGGGCTAAAACGGCTCAGGGAGCAGATGCACTCAGGCTTGTCTGGCTCTAGTGGCTCCTGCTTGGACAATGAAGTTCATGTGTCAGAAAGGCAACCGGTATGACCTGCAACCAGCAGCTGGAGCTCCTTACAACCTGAAACACAAATGAAGCCCCATCAGCATCCCCCCCCCCCAAGCTCCTGGATTCTCCGCTGTTCATGGCTGGCACAATACACAGTGAACTACTTTTGAGGCAGCAGAAAAGGATCTGTCCAGCTGAACCAAGATCAGAGCAGGCACTGGGCTAGTGAGAAAGATCCTGGAGACAAGGAATGCGCCCTGCCAGAGGTCAGACAGACTGGCTGGAACTCTCGGGATGGCTCGGCCCACGTAAGCCTTCTGCACCAAGGACTGAGCGCCTTGCAGACCGGTCCCTTCCTGTAGATATGGCTGCCTCTAAAGCTCCTTCCACCCACTGCATTCTTGTGCCGGGCCCCTTGCTTGCTGGAAAAGGGCGGGCGCACATCTCCGCTCCCCTCATCTCAAAACAACAGTATCAGAATCTCCTGCCGACATCTTGGCTCTGATCCCAAGAAGAGACAGGCAAAAGGAGCAGCAGCAGCATGATCAGTAAGACCACCACGGTCCCTGGTATGGTCAAGAGCCGAGGCCAACTGGCAACTCAGAGGCTGTGCAAATAAGGAGGAAATGGGGGGGGGGGAGAAGAATGCAGCTCTGCAACAATGCTGCAAAGCTGTAATACATATGGAGTGCAGAGCTGGTGTCTTGTGGCTATGGAGGGACAATGCTATCGACGCTGCTTAGGAGAGAGAGCTACCGTTCCTCTTCTCCAGCCTGCACTGCTACCATCTTGGTCAGCAGGGCACCCTAGCCTGACCAGCGTGTGTGTGAGAGAGAGGAATGTCTTGGTGGGCACAGGCTTTGCGGTATGTTCCAAACCAGTTCATCGTTCATCTTCGGAAGGAGCCACATCAACGGAAGGGGCCTCTTCCTCTGGCTGCCTCAGGGAGCCAAATCTGCACCTGGGGAATCATAGAATGTTAGAGTTGGAAGGGACCTTCCAGGTCATCTAGTCCAACCCCCTGCACTCTGCAGGAGCATAGCCAAAAGATAGCCCTACAACATACCCGAAAGATGGTCGTCTAGCCTCCAGCGAAGGAGCATCCACCACCTTCCGAGGCAGACTGTTCCACTGCTCAACCACTCTTACAGTTAGGAAGTTTCTCCTGATATTTAGCTGGTAACAACTCCCTTGTAATTTCCACCCATTAGATCTAGTCTTGCAATCCGGAGCAAGAGAGAATAGATCCGCTCCATCTTCTACATGACAGCCCTTCAAATACTTGAAGACTGCAATCATGTCCCCTCTAAGCCTTCTCTTTCCCAGGCTAAACAGAAAGCAGTTAGCACTTCAGCTCTGGTTTATCCAAAGGTTGCAGTTGGCAGGGGTTATTTTGAACAGACTGTTTCTATTACCCATCGAAATGCAAAAGTCAAAGCCATTTGTTTGAAGGGAGAACTATTTCTGAAAGGCACGGCTGTTAAGTCTCTGACTCGAGGAAATTTCTCTGGGATACATGGAACTAGGACCATTGGGCCAAACCAACAGCCTTTAACCCCCCTACATTGGAAAGGAATCCTAGCTTACTTTTACCCATACGTTGCTACCCTTCTACTCTTTCTATTGGCTCATCAGGCACTGGCATCAAATTCTGAAGACTACCCCATCCCAGAGGTAAAGACGTGATCTCTCCTTTTTTGTGAGTGGTAAACAACCTTTAGATGTTGCATCTTTAATGATAAAAGAAACACCTGTTCCTTATCTTGCCAGTCCTTGCAATACCCCCATGAGACAGAGGCTGCTGCAATTACAACTCAAGGAATCGATGCGGAGTTAGAACTTGCCCCCAAATCTCTGTGGTCCAAAATTTGGCAAGCTAAGGAGACCAGAGAGCTCCCCATTAGAGCCAACTTACCATTCTCATCCCAGCCCTCAGCCACACCTGCCAGCTGATAGTGTTTCTTGCGCAGCTCGCCCAGGCGCTGGCGTTCCTTCTGCAGCTGGCTCTCTAGCTCTAACACCCGCACCTGGCAAGGGAGGAAAAAAGCTTTCCTGTCAGCCAGCGGCCATTCGGGCCCTTCCCCACCCTGCCTCAGCCTCACCGCCACATACCTGGGAGTCCATTTCTTGCCGCTTGATTTGCGTTAGCGTCATGGCAGAGAAGTTCATGCTGTCTGCTGCGGAATCACACAATTTCAATTGTTTTAATTAAAGGGGCTCCCTGGCTGCATAGGAAGCCATCCCCCCACCCCCCACCCCAATCTGGTGAAACCTAAGCGCTAGCAACAAGCACGGTTGCATCCATGGGATCCTAGCCAGGGGATTCCCATGGCAGAGTGGGGGGATGACAAAAAGGAGAGATGGTGGAGACAGCTCGAGCCAGAGAAACAGAAGAAACCACAACTGAGCTATAAAGAGCAGCAGCAAATCCGACACAGAAGCGGCATACCTTTCTCCTCAATCTGTGACTTTCCTGACTTGGTGGAGGCCACCACCCCTGCAGTCGCTTGGTTGACTGCCCGAGAAGCCACTTGAAGTTTGCTGAGGTTTGCACTGTCTTTATCCGCTTTCACCTGCCAGGTCAAATAGGCCAGAGTCAAATGCTGAGCTCCAGGTGGGAAGGAAAGAAATCAGTCAGCTACGTGCTTGCAGGCTGCAGCACCCTATGAAAGGACAGAACTAGCAGCAAACAGCCTCCAAAATGTGCCTTTAGAGGACCATAAAAATTTACAAAAAATAGATTTGTCTGCTGATAGAAAGGTCCTCTCCAGCCAAGTGACATGCTAGAGACCAAGCTTGGTTAATCACACACTGGGGGTGGGGTCAGATTGCTCTGAGATACAATTCCCAAAAGCAAAAAGCCCCTAAAACGCTGTTTCACCCCAAGTCTCGACTGTTTTGCTACTTTTGTACTATAAGACTATTAGGAACTCTGTGGCAAAATAATCCTTCTGGAGCCTACGGAGTATTTAAGGTGCATTTCTAGAGAAATCTGTTAGGCTCTGTCGTACAGAGCAGCTGTCGAGAATGCAGCTAACCAAAGATGGAATAAGCCACAAACTATTTTTAAGGGGAGGGGAAAAGCACCAGAATATAAACCAGCCCTCTTCGAGAAAGGTAGTGACCTTGCTGACCTTAGAAGGCCTCCAGAGGGGCTGACAAAGCAAGTTCTGGAAACTATGGGAGAATTATTTTCTGGTGGGCAGCCATGTCAGTAGAAAAGCAAGATACGTCTAGTAGCACATTAAAGAAGAGCAAGATATGAGTCCTGTTGCATCTCAAAGACAAACATGATTTCCATGGTATAAGCTTTCAAAAGTCAAAGAACCTGATGAAGGGAGCTTTGACAAGCAAAAGCTTGTCCTGGAGGAAATCTTCTTGGTTTCTAAGGTGCGCCTGGACTTGATTCTTCTGCTAGAGAACTATACTCCTATCGTCTTAATCACAGAAATCATAGAATCATAGAGTTGGAAGGGACCTCCAGGGTCATGTAGTCCAACCCCTGGCACAATGCAGGAAAATCCTTACCTTGTAGGTATTTTCCTGGTCCTATGCTTATCAAATTACTGGCCATTACCCACATGCTCTGGCACTTGGCTCCACTGGTCTGCTTGGCATCAAGAGGAAGGACTTACCTTTGAGGCAGCAACGAGCTGAGCCGTGCTTGCTGCAATTTCATGGGAGCAGACCATTAGCTCCTCAAACTTCCCTTTGCCTTGAACCACAAGATCAGCAGCATCTCTAGGAGAAATGAAGACAGGCTGGCTGGGCTCCTTCTAGCATCACGCGATCCTGCCCGGCTGCCTGTCCATAGTTTGCAGAGGACCGTATGCAAACTTGGGGGGATAGCCAGAGGCTGGCCTCCTCTGACACTTACACCATGAGGGTTGCTCCCCATCCGACGGCCTTGGAGGCGGAGATCAGCCCCTCTGTCCACCGGGAATTCCTGGCATAGAACTCCTTGGGGGATGCTGCTCCCTGGATGAGAAGGAAATCTGAGTACCGCATGCAACATCTGAGGAAGTAATTCAGATGCCCATTTCCTCCGTTGTTTGCAACTGTGACTGGAAATGTCTGGCCAGAGCTTGGCAAACAGCAGAAGATTACAAAAAGCTCCCCAGCACTACATGTTCTAGCCACAGACCGGGAGAAACAGCTTCCGGCTTGGGAGATCCAGGGTAAAATCCTTGCTGGCTCCCTTTGCATTCACCATCTACCCACCTAGCAAATTCCCAGTCTGTGATACCTGAAGTAGGGTTGCCAGGTCCGACTCAGGAAATGTCTTGGGACTTTAGGGGTGGAGCCAGGAGACTTTGGGGTGGAGCCAGGAGCAAGGATGTGACATCACTTTTGTGATGTCACATCCTGTGACTTCACTTCCAGGGCCACCCCTCAGATCCAGAAGGTTCCTGTGATTCCATGGCAAGAGCTTGTGCTTCTAACACAGTGGCTGCTTTCAACTCATTCTCCACCCAAGTCGCACATGCTGGTACCATTTAGGGTTGCCAGGTGAGGCTGACAAGCCGGCAGGGGAGAGGGGAGCGAAAAGGCACGATTGAACTCCGAAGGGAGTTCAAGCCGTGACATTTAAAGGGACCGCATTACTTTTAAATGCCTTCCCTCCATTGGAAATAATGGGTGATGGGGGCATCTTCTTTGGGGGCTCATAGAATTGGGGGGTTTTTTGAGGAGAGGCACCAGATGCTATGCTGAAAATCTGGTGCCTCTAGCTCAAAAAACAGCCCCCCCCCCCCCAGCCCCACACACCCCCCAATCAATTCTCTATTATACGCTATGGGGACCGGTCTCCAAATTGTATAATGGAGCACCCAGTGGACATCCCCCCCCCCCACTTTCTGACCACCTTGAAGCGGGGGGAGGGCCTCCAAACCAGGAGATCCCCTGCCCCCAACTGGGGATTGGCAACCCTTACTTGAAGGTAGGTGGAGAAGCACAGAACGCAAGGACAGGCTCTCCCTTCCAAGTGACACAGCAGCTGAATCGCAGCGAGCCATCTGCCTTTCACCACCCCACCTGCCTGCTACTCGTTTGGTGTGGGCCACCTGTAACTCCAAACCGGGGCAGCATCCATTCCAGTGGTTCGGCTTGTCTGCTGGAATGAGGGCTGAGGGCGATAGGGTGTTTTTACAAGTTACACTGACCTCCCCTCTCAACACTGCTAGAAGCAGAGATCGTTGGCTTTCAAAAAAATTTTAATTTTATTTATTAAATTTATACCCCGCACGAGAATAAGAATGAAAGTGAACTGAGGCGGTAGAATGCGCCTGACAAAAAGTCTTCAGAAGTGCCGCCGTACTCACCCTTCCGCTCTCCACAATCTCTCGCTGGAGATCCTTGGAAGCCAGAACCAGATCCTGGATCGCCTGCATTAAGTCTGTGCAGGAGCCTAGGATCCTACAAGAGACAAATGCATGGCACTGTTAAGCCCAAGCCGAAGGACAAAAGAGCAGGCAGAAGCAGCGCTGCAGTCAGGCCACGAGAGGGTGAAGGTGAGAGAAGGGCTTGCCTGTTTCTTCCAGCACATTAACTGCGAGAGGGGGAGAGGTGAGAGTTTTTAATTTCTTTTCATTTAACTAATTCATTTATACCTCAGCCTTTCACTCCAGTGGGGACCCAAAGCGGCTTACATCATTCTTCTCTCCTCCATTTTATCCACACAACAACCCTGTGAGGTAGGTTAGGCTTAGAGGAAGTGCTTTCTGGCACTTTCTGTCCACACATGCCATCGTTGTAAAAGGTGGCTTTGCTGCCAGGGGATTTTGGCGTACAAGATGAAAGGCAGTGGCACAGCAGTATATGAAAACAAGAAAAAAATGCATGTGCCCAAATTTTAACACCAATAATCAATGAATTTAATAATAGGAAGACATATAAAGTACTCAGAACAAATTTTCCATAAACAACAGGTGGAAATTCACTGGTAAAGTTGAATACAGGTAGGAATTCACAGGTGGAGTTTTTCTACAAACAATTTTTAATAAATTCAAAAAAAGTCCTTGAGCTGTACTGATCAAGGACTTTTTTTGAACTTATTAAAAACTGTTTGTGGAAAAACTCCACCTGTGAATTTCTACATGTATTCAACCTTACAAGTGAATTTCCACCTGTTGTTTAGAGAATTTTGGCAGTCAACATGAGGGACAAGAGCAGGAAAGGTTGCCCTGACCTGGATAGCCCAGGCAAGCCCAACCTTGTCAGATCTTGGAAGCTCAGCAGGGCCGTCTCTGGCAAGTACTTGGAAGGGTGACCTCCAAGGAATACCAGAGGCTGGACACAGAGGCAGACATAAAGCCAGCTCCCTGAAAAACATCCAAGCCCGCAGTAGGGGGTCTCCGGAAGTCAACCATGACTTCCAGGCAAGCACGCACCCACACACCTCTACACACACACACATAAAAAAGCGCAGGAAGGGCGGAGTAGCCCAAGGAAGCTCATCCCATTTTCCAGATATGATTGGAATGCTCATGGCAAAAGGTGTGGCAGGGGGACCCCCACCCTGCTTGTTACCTGGGGACAACCTCTCCCTCCCCAAACCAGAGCTGCTTGCACAGATAAAGCAACCCTCAATACCAACCTCTCATTGACCTCAAGCTTGACTCCGGTATCTCCGGCCCGCGATTTGCTCAGCATCTCCTGTTTTGACAAAGGTGGGGAGGTGTCAGAACTACAGGTGACACATCCAAGCACAATCGGGAAACAGAGTAGGAAACCCACTGCGAATCCACGGCCCACCCCCACCACGCACACTCCACAGAGCTCTGACGGAACCAAAGTTCCCTGCCTCAGCTGGTGTCTTTCTGACGGGCGTCAGTCGGGAGAGGGAGGTGGGCCCATGCTTTCCCCTTCTCACCTCAATTCTGGCCGCCGCTGTCTCAATGGCCGCCGCTGTGGCCGCCATCTCCTTGTCCACCAGGTCCCCCAGTTCATCCTGCTTGATATCCAGGCCTTTGGGGCGCAGCTCCTGCAACGGTGCGGGTCATTCAGAGCGGCTGCTTCGGCCACAGCCCACCCACCCCAGCCTCAAATGAAAGGAGGAAGACTCCTTCCCCCGCCGCTTCAGGGCCGCATCACCCAGCTGCTCCTGGCCTTCGCCAGGGACTCCACCTCTCGCCAACTTTCCGGTCTCCCTCAAGCTACGCAAAGGCTCACCTCCCCGATTGTGGCAATCCGGCTGAGGCAGTTCCTGACGGCGGTGCAGTCAGCACTCTCCAGCGAGGCCGCGTCCCTCAGGGTCCCTAGATAGTGCAGGGCCTCACCTCCACACTGTCTGCAGGCCTCCAGCAGCACTGGAAGCATGCAAACGAAAGCTCCGTTTAGCCACGCGGCCCTCAGAAGCCCCAATCCCGCTCCTTGCCCCCTCCTTCACCGATGCGATACTCACGGTCAGCAGGCTCCATGGGGGCCATGTGCGATGTGGCGCTGGCTTGCAGAATGGTGTCTCCGGTCAGGTGGGCAAAGAGAGCCACACTCGACAAGAGGGCGCTCACGTCTAGGGGGCAAATGGAAGAGAGCATGTAACACCGGGAGGGGCACTGACCAAGTCCTTGCCCTGTGCACCAACAAACCCTCCCCACCCTCAGCTGTCTGGGCGAGTGTGGAATCAGTTCAAGCACACAGAGATCTCTGGCATTCAAGAGAACACTACTGCTGTGTGCTGGTTCGGTTGCAATTGATGGTAGTTTCAACCGATACAGACTGGGAAACAAATGCCTTCAACTCTGGGGCCCGGCTACTTGTGAACGTGCTAGTGGAGCAAGGGATTCTGCTGGCCTTCCACCCTTGGCGCCAGGACCAAGCTTGAGCCTGGACACCTGAGTGAGGGTCTGGTTGCTCTCACCTGACCGGTCGGCAAGGTACTGGCCGCGTGCCTCCTCGAGCTGCTCGACGCACTTCAATGCAGCAACTGACCTAGACAGAAGGTAATCTGCAGCAAGAGACACGAGATGCATTTAATACACTTCCCAGTTCTGCAAAAAAGACCATTCCATTGAAACTGAGATGCATAACACAACGTCATCTGGATTTTTATTGCTATTTGGTGGGCCTTGGACATTGTTACTTGCAGTGTTGCCCGGGCCAGAGGTAGTGAAAGGGAGGAGGGTCAGTAAGACCCGGGGGGTCCTGATCCCTGTATTGACTGAAGCCTGGGCTTCATAGACTTCAAGAGAAGCGGTCCAAGTGGGTTTGGGCTGTTATATAAAAATTGAAACAGTTATACGTTTTCCTTTGGGTGCACAAGGGTTAGGGAACATGCACGCACTGCACATGGACATCTCCGAGGAGGAGACATCTCCTCCCACTCATGCCTGCATGCTGACCTGCAGAACTTGTGCAGCTGATGTGAATGGGGTCGTCGAGTCGATTCAAGGCATCCTGGACCATCTGCTCAGCCTCTCCTACGGCACACTGTAGGAGAGCAAACTGCTTGTCCAGGAGCTGCTGCTGGAAGTCCTGTGCGTTGCGCTCCTGCAGGCAGGCAAAGACAAAAGACAGCTAACCCTGCTGGTACACAAGGCTCCTTTCCATGCCTGCCCTCTCCCAGCATGCAAAGCAAAAACTTGACTTCAAGGGTCTGGCAAAAAGGAACTATAAACTGGCATGCTGGGAAATTGAGTCTTGGTGTACCGTGACCATGACTCTTTGGGACTGGTCCAGGCAGCATCCATTTTGCACACTTTACCACCCCTTTTCAATGGATCATTCTGACACACAACATGAAACAGTGCTGGGGCCCTGGATCCAAAGAACTTTGGAGGCCACCAAACACACCCTGCCAGTGTTCCCTCTAAGCTGAGTTAGTGTGAGCTAGCTCACAGTTTTTTTAGCCTCTGGCTCATGTTTTTGTCTTAGCTCAGAAAGGATGGCTCCAGAGCAAACTGATTTATGCAGCAGCTCACAACTTTAATGCCAGTAGCTCACAAAGTAGAATTTTTGCTCACAAGGCTCCACAGCTTAGAGGGAGCATTCCCTGCCCCTTCCTCCTACAGCACACTAAGTTAGTAAATACCAGCATGGTGTAGTGTCAGAATAAGATCTGGTAAACCTGGGTTCAAATCTTCACTTTGCTCTCTGGGTGACCCTGGGCTAATCACACAGCATCAGCCTAACCTACCTCGTAGGCTCACCACTTTGAGATACCCATTGGGGAGAAAGTCGGGATGTAAATATAACGTAAGTAAGTAAATAAATGGAAAGGATCAGAATTATGCAGCTACACTTACTATATTCGAAAACTGCTTTGCAAAAGGGAGCCAATTTTTCCCCCTGCCTTTGTTTCGGGGGTCAAACAGATTCCACCTGATTTGCAGAACCTGGGGACAGCTCCAAATCACAGACATGGGAAGAAACAGACCCTGTCACGAGATCTGGATGAGCCTGGGTCTGCCCGATATGTCTCAGATGCATGCACGTCCTTATCTGGACAAGAATTCAGGCCCTCGGGACTTCTCTATACGTCTTGGTAACTAGATGTCCCACCCTATTGATTGCACCGACTTACACTGGGTAATCCAGCTTGAGTCTCAGCAAAAAAGGAGGATGAAAAAGGAGATAAACATCCTGTAAGGTACCTGCAACAACTCTCTGAAGCCTCTCTTTAGCCCGCCTTCCCAGCTCCAACCGTTCCCCGGCAAAGCATACCTTTTCCCCCAGGCGGCACTGCAGCTCTTCCAGCGTCTTGCTGCTGCTCTCCTTCTCCGTCTCCAGTGTGGTCTTGAGCTGCTCCACTTCCGCCTGCAAGGCTGCCCTCTGCTGGTCATGCTGGGCCACCGTCTCCGCAAGGGTGTCCCTCTCCTGCCGCAGGCCGGCCAGCTGGGTGCTTTGCTCCGCTTCAGACTAGCCAATGAGCCAAAGGAGAGTGTCTCAACTGCACAAGGGCCGCCACCCAGAAACCTGTGGGCTAGACCCATCCACCCGGGCCTCTCCACCACCACTGTCCTTGTGCTCCTGGCAGCCGCTTGCAATGCCAGCCACTGTGCCAGTCCTAGCTGCCGTGTTTAACGATGATCAAAGATACATCTCAAAGTGGTAGCATGGAGCAGGGGCGATGGATAAAGGGGACAGAGAAGGAGGACAGAAGAGACAGAAAAGGATGGCGTGAGAATGGGAGAAAGGAGGTCGAAGAGAAAAACTAGACATGAAGCAGAATGTAGGAAGAGGGGCGGAAAGGGTAAAAAAACCCAACAATGCGGAAGAGGGCAGGCGCCAGAAAGCACATTGGGGATCACTGAGAGCAGTGTGGGGAGAGGGTGAAGAAAGACCCCGACAAATGTCTTTGAGGAAGAAGCGCAGGGGCAAGAGGGTCTCACCTGAGTGCTACACTCAATAGTACTTCTGAGGCTCTGGATTTCCTGCTTGCTGGCCACGAGCTCCCTCTTCAACGTCTCCAGGACTTCTGCCTGCTCCTGCATCTGCAAGCAGAGCACCAGAGAATCTCGACACCCTCTTCCTAGCCATTGCCGCCATCTCTCGCTACTTTCCCCCCTCTGATGTCACCCTGAAGCAGGGCTGCCAACTCTGGGCTGGGAAATGTGTAGAGACTTGGGGGGGTGGGGAGGCGGAGCCTGGGGGAGCAGAGCAAGCTCAGCAAGGGATAGTGCTACAGAATCCGTCGTCCAAAGGAGCCACGTCCTCCAGATCTCCAGGCCCCACCTGGAGATCAGTTGTAATTCTGCAGGATCTCCAGGCCCCACCTGGAGGTTATATTCAAATAGTACCAGGGCTTTGTTTGTAGAAAAAGTCCAGCAGGAACTTATTAGCATAATAGGCCATACCCAACAGCAGGAACTCATTAGCATAGTAGGCCACACCCCTGACCACACAACTCATTCACATATTAGGCCACACCCCCATGTTACCAGAAGTGTGGTCATCCAACCACACCCACCTTTCCCTTCTTATTCTCTTTACCTTGTTTGTTGTCAAAACCCAGGGCTGGGTTTTTTTTGGAACAGGAACTCCTTTGCATGTTAGGCCACGCCTCCTAATTGTAGCCAATCCTAATGAGTTTCTGCTGTTGGGTGTGGCCTGTTATGCTAATGAGCTCCTGCTGGGCGTGGCCAACTTGGGAGCCAGCTGGAACTCCGTTCCTGTGCATTACAATGAATTATATATTAAGACTGAAATAAACATGTAAATTATATAAACATAAACATGTAAATTATATAAACAGTATTTGTATCGTGTCAGTTGTTGTAAAGGTACAATACACTCACAGACTTAAATGACATGAACAAAACTAAACACATGCACAGTATTTCAAGAAATTGACACTTCAAAGAGCTGTAAACAAATGTCAGGTTCACAACATGAAGCTTGCAAGACTACGGGGAGCCGGTAAGAAGAATCCTGTTTCTGTGCGCCATCGTCAGGTCTTACAGCCTCACTAGTGTTGCGAATCAGAATTTTTGGAAGCGTAGTAGGGGGGCAAAATTAGCTCCGTATTTCTCAAGACTTAGAACATATAGTTGAAAGAGGGAATCGCCAGGAGAGTTTCAGAATGTGGTGACAGTCTACAGAGATTCACTACGGGGAATTTGACAATTGTTCACAACTCTTTGAAGTGTTAATTTCTTGAAATATCGTGCATGTGTTTAGTTTTGTTCATATCATTTAAGTCTGTGAATGCATTGTACCTTTACAACAACTGACACAATACGAATACTGTTTATATAATTTACATGTTTATGTTTATATAATTTACATGTTTATTTCAGTCTTAATATATAATTCATTGTACATGGTGCTTTAGTATTTGAATATTGCCTTCTACACCGTAGTCCTTCTGTTGTAGTAATACCCACCTGGAGGTTGGCAACTCTACCCTGAAGCCTGCCATATATATATATATTTTTGACACTCCCCCCGCCGCACCTTCCGTTGGGCCTGCTTGCTCAGCTGCTGAAAGGAGTCCTCCAGCTCTTTCTTCTCTCGTTCCGCATCGCCCTGGACCTGTCTCGCCACTGTTACCTGCTTAGTGACTTCAGCATTCTACGAAACAAAAGCAGAAACGTAAAGAAAAAGGACTTCATTGCTGGGCTGCCGTTCTGTCTCCCAGGACGAAGTGAAGGACCACAGCACTACCTTGCGCAGGAGGTCCGCGTGGTTCTGCACCAGCTCACTGTACTTTTCCTTCAACTTCATGTAACGCTGCTCGGTCGCTTGCGCTTTCCCTGCAACAGAAACGGATCAATCAAGCAGGGCTCCTGTTTGGAAGATGAGCAGGCCCAGCCGGCCCTTCTTTCGGTACTGAACCCAACTGTGCAAGAGAGGCGGGGCAGAAATTCAATCCTCCCTCTTTCCGTAGCACCCCAAGCCAACATTCCCATGCAACTGATGCACCTCCCTATTCTGTGCATCCCGCTTTGATCCTGGCAATCACCTACAGAGGGAAGACACTCCCCAAAGGACTGTTAATACACCATATGTTGCTAGCCACCATATGCTGCCAGCCAAAAAAGGGCATCGTGGGGCCCATCCCTACAACCATAGTTCCCTCTAAGCTGAGTTGGTGTGAGCCAGCTCACAGATTTTTAGCCTCTGGCTCACACATTTTTGTCTTAGCTCAGGAAGGATGGCTCCAAAGCAAACTGATTTATGCAGCAGCAAAATCCCTCACTCACACCTTTAATGCCAGTAGCTCACAAAGTAGAATTTTTGCTCACAAGACTACACAGTTTAGAGGGAACATTGCCTACAACTCTCTTCTGGTTCATCAAAACGTCTCTGAAAAGGGATACCAGACTTGCGTTTCAAATTACAGCTAGGTTTAATAAGGGACAGAGGACAAAACTGGCTGTTCGTTACATTTCTGGTCCATCTGTTCTAGACAAATAGCTGCAAGAAAGTTTTGGGAACTAAGGTGTGCACGATTACGTTTGGCTAATATATATTCATTATGGCTAAAAATATCATAGCACAGCTAACATTTAATCAGTTTATTTGCAGTAATGTAAGGTGACGGCACATAGTTGTCCGCCCCAAGTTGTCACAACGGAACAGTCTCACTTGTGAAGCCAATGAGCCAATCAGATCCCCGCATTTCTACAGCGCCACCCCCTCCTCCCAGAAGCCCTGAGGGAAGAGGCCAGGGACCGTCCCCGCTGCTGCCCTCACTCTCAATCTCTGTCAGGCTGCGCTGCGCTTTCTCCGTGTCCTCGTGCCGCTTCTTCAGTTCGTCCAGTTCGGTCCGCAGGAAGTCGCTCTCGTCCAGCGCCTGCTGCTTCAGGTGCTGCTGCTCCGCCAGCTCCGCCTCCAGCTCGCTGATCCGCCCCTTCAGCTGCATCACCAGACGGTGACTCTGCAGGCCAGGGAGAGTTAGGAGAGTGGAGCTTTAAGAGGATGCTGGCAAGCCGCACGGTGACCCAAGCTGTTGTGCTGCTCTGGCTGAGGAGGTCAGCCCCCGAAAAACCTGTCACAGCGCTAAGCCTCCATCAGACAACCGGATGACTAGAAAAGGATAACGCTCCCGCATTAAAGGGGTAGTCTAAACAGTACGTTCAGGAACTGTCAACCCCTAATTTGCAATAAAGGTGGGATGCAGGCAGTGCACATTTGTGTATGGAGGAAGATAGACATCGTCAGCTTCAGAATGTTTTATGCAGCCCTTGTTGACCCTCCCCCACTAGCATTTCTGCTCTTTAGCCTTAGTAAGTGCTCTGGGAGGAAGAGTGCCTGAGCACTCCAGTCGCCCTTGCTTTCTATCATGGTTCCTCTGGAGTAACCTTTGCTGATGATGCACACCTCATGTGGCTTGTCTGTGCCCCCAGTGATATTAAGCTGATACTCCTGAATTCTGGGCAGATGGAGGCATCTGAGTGACGGGCAGATAAGAATAAAAAGAAAGACGGGAAGAAGATGAGAAGAAGTGCCTCGAGTTGCAACTGACACATGGTGACCCCATCCCAGGGGCGTTCCAGACAAGATGTGTTCGGAGGTGGTTTGCCATTGCCTTCCTCCACACAGCAACCCCCGGTTTTCCTTGGTGAATTCCCATTATAGTACTGACGGTGGCCAACCCAGCTTAGCTTCCAAGCTCTGGTGAGCGCACGGGGAAGATGGACTATTCAGGCTGCCGAAGCCAAGAACTGAGTGGCTAATTTGGGTCTCGCCTCTCATCTTTGGGGTGGGGGGTTCGGTATATTGCATGTGTGCGCGTGGAAGTCGTGGCTGACTTCTGGCGACCCCTAGTGGGGCTTGGACATTTCAGAGAGGTAGCCTCCCACACTGACCCCTGCAAACCTCCCTCCATCCTCGGCAGGCTCCAGCATCCCACGAGTAGGGGCTCAGTGAAGGGGGTGTGCGTTTGTATTCACCTCAGCCTTGAAGTTTTTCAGCTCCTCCTTGAGGTTGCTGATCTCTCTGTGCAGCTGCTCAATCAACTGGTCCCTGGAAGCAATGAAAGACAGCCGCATCATCCAGTGGGATTGAGATATTGCCTTTGGCAGGACACAGCTGGTGCAAGAAAGGGATCTTCGTTCACGGGCACATAGGCAGATTCAATCCAGGGTGCAGGCAGGTGAGCCCAGTTGGATCAGACCAACGGTCTATCATGCCTAGCGTTCCATTTCCCACAGTGGCCAACTGGACGGGCCACAGCCAGGGCACAAAACTTGCCCTTTTCCGCTGCCTCCTAGCAACTGGCATTCAGAGGTATACTGCACCCAAATGCAGAGATCTCGTTTAGCCATCAACTCCTATTAGTCCATCATCACAAACCTTTACTGGCATAATAGTACAAATCCATACAGAATACGCTAGAATCTGTGGTCAGAAAGAACATCTCCTCCTAGAGGCCTGGTAGAGAAATTTTGCTACAGATTCAATGATTTTGCTCTTAACTGAGGCTAAAAGTATAAAGGTCTTTGGATCCTCGGATCGACCCTCCAAAGGTAGCAGGAAAGGCTTTAAAAATACAGTATGAAGGTCATCATAAAGTTTACAGTGCAAAATAACACGCTTGTTATCTTCAATCTCACTCATCCCACATGGACACAACCTATCTGTATATGGAATTTTCTAAAATCTCCCATATAACACCATAGATGGGAGAACATTAAAACGGGCTAACATAAACGCCCTACAAAGGATAAGGATCACACAGACAAAGAAGGGCCAGATGAGAGCTCCCAATGCACTGGGGAACAACGTCCAGAGGCCAGGCTTTTCAGTTCTTGTACCTCAATATCAATAAGCCTTGTCCTGCTTCTCCAAAAGCAAAACCAAATAATTAATGTTAAGCCCAATTACTAAGCCCTATTAGTCATTAGGGAGCTGCGGTGGCTCAAGTGGTTAAGACGCTGAACTGCAGGCTGTGGAAGGTCGGTAGTTCAGCACTTCAAGACCCGAGTGTGCTGCATGACGGAGTGAGCTCCCATCTCTAGTTCCAGCTCCTGCCAACCTAGCAGTTCGAAAGCAAGAAACTGCAAGAAGATAAATAGGTACCATTACAGTGGGAAGGTAACAGCGTTCCGTGCGCCTTGGTGTTTAGTCATGCCGGCCACATGACCACGGAAATGTCTTCGGACAGCGCTGGCTCTTCGGCTTTGAAACACAGATGAGCACCGCAACCCTAGAGTCGGATTCGACTGGCTTTCGAGCAAGGGAACCTTTACCTTTATTAGTCATTAACTGACTTATCCTTAACAACTTTGTCTAACCCCTTTTTATGTAAAGTGAGAAGGACTGAAAAATTCGTAATAGCCACTAGGACTCCCAGGGAAGCTGCCTACCGCTGTCTCGCTGAGCCCAGAACTGAACCCAAATCATCCTGCTGTGTTACCAAGAGGAGGCCTGCATTTAGCTATTGCAGTCTTGGCTGTGAACAGCAAAAATAAAATCCTGGGAGCAGTCCTATTATATGACCTTGATAGCTCAGAGAGACAGCGAAAGCTACCAAGAACTGCATACCGAGTAATTCAGCCATTCAGCTAAAAAAAGGGAGAGAAAGATGAGTCCTAATAAGAAGCAGAGGAAAGTGCATTTCACAGGATGAAAGAAAGTGGCAAACAAACATCATCAGGAGTAAAATGACCTGTTTCTCACACACTCTCTCTCTATTTCCCTCCACTTTCTTGTTCTACAGCAACCTTCCAATCCTGGTCCCCCCTAAACCATGTTTCTGACTACCACCACCCCTCTCATGTTCTATCCGCTTTTTCATGTAAAGCCCCTGAATTCCTGGACTCAAGCTCTGAATTGCAAGAGTGGAGGAAGGGAGAGAATAACCCCAAGGCAGGATCAGGACTCACTTGTCATCACTGTTCATCCCATTCTGGCTGTTAAAGTTGAACGGGTCATTGCTGAATGAACTGCCAAAGATGTCATCAAACTTATTCTCAGGCAGGCTCTGGAAGACAAGATGGATGCGGTCAGCTCCTAGCAAGGCCTGACAGTCATTACACGCTTGTAATAGTAGTGCTCTCCCAGCTCAGTGGTGGAGCGCCACTGGGAAGGTGCATCTACCCCAAGGCCTTGCTTTACAACCTTCTTTCCATCTTGGGTCCCAAATGGGGTGTGCGTCCTTCAGGGTTGGGGTGGCTGAAAGCTCACTCAAGGTCCAGACCAAGTGAGCATTTCGGTAAGTTCTGGCAGGCGCAGCAGCAGACCGGCACATTCAAGTTATGCACCCTGGACATTTCCTGCCTTACCCAATGAGGCCAACCCAGTCTGAATGCAGGGAAAGGCTAGCTGAGGCCTGTGTATGAAAGAACCAGCCCTATGAAAGTCAGGCTCCGGATAGACCTCGCGATTTCCGGCTCCATCCGAGACAGGGAAGGCTTCTGTAGCAAGCAGACAATGCGATTCTGTGTCCAGAATACCTTAAACCCAAAGTGCTCACCTAATCACTGCCTACTGCTTTGAATAGGCAAGATATATGCAAACAGTTTCCGCTCACAGTCCCTAGGATATCCCATATGAAAACTCAAATGGGGAACTCTTGCTATGTAGGCAGAACCACAAAGAGTTTTAAGGAGACCTCTTGCTAATCCCAACTTTCAATGAAGCGGTTGGTCAGGAGGCGAGAGAGGGTTAACTACCCTTAAGACAGAAGGCTCAAGTAGAAACTAGTGGTCTTACAATGGCCTTTAAGGCTGCACGCACAGAAACAAAGGCATCTGTACGGGGCAGGCATTATTTCTGGACTAGCCACAAAGAGTACATTTCCCCATTTGTTGAACACCAGTGAGGTCAATGTCCCCTGCAGCTTTGCTTTCTAAGGGGGAAGTGGCCCTTTGTGGTGGACAAAAGCATTCCGGGAAACAGTACAGGAGAAAGGGTACATACTAGGCTTCCAATACGAGTCCACGTTCCTTTTGCCTCCGTCATTAATGGCCACCTTTAAGACCTTTAAGAAGCAAGATCGATGGGCAACGCTTTTAATGAATTGCACTACTTCAGGCGGCAGCTGAAAGGTTGCATATTTGAAAGTTCGTGCATGGCTAGGGTGGGGCGAGCCCTGCACACAGCCCATCAGGGAGAAGGTTGTGCTGAACTCCTCCCCCTTGTCGTGATAGTCTTCTAACTGCAGAATTTTATTGGGGGGGAGGTAAATGTAAACAAGCATGCCCTCCACCACCTGCAGCCTGAGATGGTACAAAATGCTGGAAATGCTTTCTCTAACAGGTTCTGTTGGATGAGTCAATGGGCCCACAAAGAGAGGGGAAGAAAAGCTAAACCGACCAAGCAAAAATGTCCAAAGGAAGTTTAGAAAACTAGTTAAGGGCCAAAAGTTAAAAACACCAATACGTATTGACAAAAGTACACATGTTTATTTCAAAAACACATAAAAACCTTGGAGGGGACTGAATAAAGCCTCATAAAATGTTCAAAGTGACAAATGCACAAGAAAAGAATATGTGACCTGACGTGTCTCAGCTCACAAGAGCCTTCTTCAGAGGTCAGAATAAAACATTCTTCGGAGTACAGAATAAAACATGGAAGAAAGTCCCTGTTACTCTTGTAAAGGCAGTAAACAATTGATACCGGACCAAAAATGGAATGCTCCAATATGGAATTGAATGACATACCAAAAGATTTCTATTTTGGGCCAGAAATATATCTGGCCTTGTGTCAGAAGTAGTTGTATGTACTGGAAATAATATCAGTACCAATATGTACCTTCCAGTTTAGGTCCTAAGAGTGCAAGTAAAATTGCCTTATCATGGACATTGTGACATCAATATGTAACAGTCATACAGTGGCCAACCAGTTCCTCTGGAGGGCCAACAACAGGCTGAGACCTCCCCCTGATGTTGCCTCCTGGCACTGGGATTCAGATGCTAACAGCCTCTGAACATGGAGGTTCCCCTCAGCCACCATTGCTAGTAGCCACTCACAGACCCACCCTCCATGAATTTATTTAATCCTCTTTTAAATATGTCTATTCCTGTAGCCATCAGTTCATAATGACACACAAAAAAGTTTTTGTCTGTGGGGTCACCAATGTATCTGGCCCTGTGTCAGAAGCAATTGCATATATTGGAGATAGTAATATTGCCAATATGTCCCTTCCAGTCTAGGTCCTAAAAATACAAGTAAAATCGCCTTATCAGAGGCAACGTGACAGCAGAACAGCTAGATCAGAGTCTGGTAGCACCTTAGAGACCCACAAGGTGTAAGCTCTCAAGAGCCAAAGTTCCCTATTTGACAAAGGAACTGTCAGTCTGGGGCAAGGGATGCTCTGTATTCTTGGTGCTTGGGGGTGGGGCAACAGTGGGAGGGCTTCTAGTGTCCTGGCCCCACTAGTGGACCTCCTGATGGCACCTGGTGTTTTTGGCCACTGTGTGACAGAGTGCTGGACTGGATGGGCCATTGGCCTGATCCAGCATTGGCTTCTCTTACGTTCTTATGTAAAGGGAGCTTTGGTTCTCAAAAGCTCACACACCCCAAAATCTTGCAGGTCCCTAAGGTACTACTGGACTCTAATCTAGCTGCTTCTATAAATGTGGCCCATGGATGACAGAGGCTGGTGCTCTCCAGACCAGTGTTCCCTCTAAGCTGAGTTAGTGTGAGCTAGCTCACAGTTTTTTAGCCTCCGGCTCACACATTTTTGTCTTAGCTCAGGAAGGATGGATCCAGAGCAAACTAATTTATGCGGCAGCCAAATCTCCTGCTCACAACTTTAATGCCAGCACCTCACAGAGTGGAATTTTTGCTCACAGGGCTCCATAGCTCCATGGCAAAGTTCTGCCTTGTCTCTGTGAGCCGCCCTGAGCCCATGGGGAGGGCGGGATATAAATATGAAAAATAAATACATAAATATAAATAAATAGCTTAGAGGGAACATTGCTCCAGACACCCACTGCAAATTACGCTGCCCCTTCTCTTGTGCCCAGACTCGATTTCCCACTTCGTGCCAAAACCGCAGCTTCCTGGCTCCTCGTCTCACCTTCTGAGAGGAGGTTTCCATGTCCACGAGTTCCATGATCGGCTCACTGTCGGGGGACGAGGCCTCCACCGGGATGACGACGACCGGGCTGATGTGCTCGGAGAGGGCCGAAGCCCGCAGGAAGTTAGGGGGATTCTGGCAGAACAGAAAGAGGGGTGCGGTTGGCAAAGTCAGAACTGCAGCAAGGAGATGACGTTCCGTAGCGTAAGCCAGTCCTGCAAGACTTCCATCTCGGCGCGAGGGGGAAAGGCAACTCTGACAGACGTGCAGTTCGCTTGGGCCGCTATCTACAAGCGGCCTTCAGCTCGAGAGGTGTGGGAGAACTGGAAGTGGGAGACGTCTGTTTAAGGCCACGCGGTCTCACCTCGGGCAGCTGAGGGATCTGAATCAGTCGCTTGAAATACTGCAGGTTGCTGGAGCGATAGAACAGATCCTTCAGCCTGCAAAATTCAAGAGCAAGAGTCAAGTCCAAGCGCACCCTGGGCTACTCCAGTTAAGGTCTGCCGGCCTTAAAACGGAAGCAAATTGAACTGGATAGCCCAGAATCAGGCCAGTGGCTGCATTTAGCTTTCCTACACTTAGATCAGCTAAGGAGGTTCTAGTACCAGTGATCCAGAAGTCACTGATGATGTTAGAGCAACCCAACACACAGGATTTTTACCCTAACGGGTGTGTACTCCTTTACCTACTCTGATTCAGGTCTTAGTAATAAAGAAGAAGGTTCACAAAAGCAGTTACAATGAAAGCCTGACATGCTGATCAAGAATACCTTCACCGGAAATGGCACAGCGGACCTGAACCTTCAAATAAGTCATAGAAAATGACCATACTTCCTACCACCTAGGATGCTTTAATACCGCCATTCTGTTCCTTATTGTGTGTTTCCCAACAACCCTGTCAAAGGAAGTTAGGCTGAGAGGGGATGACTGTCTCAAGGTCACCCAATGAAGCTTCACGTCAGAGTGGGGATCTGAACCCAGGCGTCCCAGACTCCAGTCCGACACCAGCAACTGCGTCACACTGGCTCTCCTGATCCAGATGACTTTAATACAAGAGAAGCCTGTAGTTTGGCAGATGGAGCTGCCTCATCGCACCCCAGAGCCTATGACTGGCCAGCACGAGCCACCTCTGGACTGCCTGCACAACTGCATCAGCAAAACTGGTGCTCCTTCGAGAACGTTTTGTTCTTCGCTTGGTTCTGGGCAACACAATGCACGTAGATACAAGGGGGCCAAATCCTGCCCAAAGGATATTGTTTGATTCCTCTTACCGATTCCTACTGTCAGGTCTTTGACCTGAAGCCAGTGGATGGTGTGTAAACAAAAGAAAGTGGTGGTGGCTACAAGCATGGACGGCTTCAAAAGGGAATTAGATAAGCAAAAGGGAATTAGATAAGCATATGGAGCAGAGGTCCATCAGTGGCTATTAGCCACAAGTATAAATAGGGACTCTGGGGCAAGTGATGCTCTGTCATCTTGGTGCTTGGGGGGGGGGGGGGTACAAGGGGAAGTGCTTCAGTCCTGGCCCCACTGGTGGACCTCCTGATGGCACCTGGTATTTTTGGCCACCGTGTGACACAGAGTGTTGGACTGGATGGGCCATTGGCCTGATCCAACATTGGCATCTCTTATGTTCTTATGTAAACTTGAAAACACAGTCATTTGGAGCAGCACCGAAAAGTTCTGATTGGAGCTGGGAGAGATGGAGCCCCAAGCATAGCAGGGACCATCAGGTCTGGCTGCCACTACTTCTCCTGCAGTTGGGGTGCTTCCTTCAGTAACTCCTTAGCAAGCCACACCGTGGCCCCTAGATTACAGATGGCATGACCGCAGGCGCACAGATGCACACTGCAAAGGGAGGGAGGGACAGTTTAGTCCCAGACTAGGAACACCACTGGCATAACCCCCATGGCTACTTCCTCAGAGTATGAAACCAGAGAAAGGACTGTCCGAGTCCCTTCCCCAAACACCTACCACCATCACCTGGTCTGGCCATCTTTGGCTGCAACAGTCGCACTGTAACACTGAACGTTTAGCATAACTCAAGGATTATGCAGTGCATCAGATCACATGCAGTGCAGCAGCTCACGTCTGATCATTTATTATTTAGATATTTCCCCACTGTCGACTTACAGCATCATTCTCACCTCCTTCCTTTTATCCTCATAACAACCAGCCTGTGAGTGAGGGTTAGATCCCGAGAGAGCGAACGGCCCCACGTCACCCGGCAACCTTCATGTCAGGGTGGGGATTTGAACCGGGGGCTCCCAGATCCCAGTCTGAACAACTACACCATAGTTAGCTGGATGTAGACGGCTAGTTGGACATTAACTCCACTCATCATAGCAGGGAGATCTTTGTCGAGGTGAATGGAGTTTGCTTTACTGTGACACAGGGACTCAGAGACATCAGGATTCGAAGGTTTTCCAGAATGTGGCAGAGTCTCCGCTTTCCCACAGATTTCTGATGTGTCAAAGAAGCCAGAAGAGTCCCCTCATCCCTGTCCCTTGTAAATAATCAAGCCGAGGGAGTTTCTCTGCATCCATTGAAACTTCAAACTCACTGTGCCAGCACAATAAGGCTTTGTGTAGGTATACGGAAAGGCGCAGACGGGGTAGGCCAGCTTAACTGATCAGCTAGTTCTAAACACACATACACAAACACACAACTTTCATTGGAGGTATCCTCTAAAGCGGACACGGACCGAGCAGCACGCACTTACTTCTTGAACTGCTCTAGGAAACGGTCCCTGTGGCCTTGGAGTGTGTCAGCTGGGAGGCCTGGATGAGAGATCACAGAAAATGGAATGAGCAGAAGATCTCCAAGCTGCTTCGGTCCACAGTTTGCTGGGGGAATATGTGTGTGTCACCGTGTGTGTGTGTGTGTGTGCGCGCGCATGCAAGCAATAAAACATGCCAAGATTTCTGCTTCCCATCTCCAACTATATAGTTCCTGGCCTCTAGTTACTTCTACGATCAGCCCTTTAGCTCTAGAGCTGATGTTATTCAGTTACTTTATACAAAGAAATGCGGTCGACATTGAAGAAATCACTACATTGCAGTGTTCCCCCTATTGTCCTCCTGTACCTTTTCTTAAAGACTTCAAGCATGGTTGTGATGCCAGCCTACCCAGTAAGTAAAGGTAAAGGTTCCCTTGCTCAAAAGCCAGTCGAATCTGACTCTAGGGTTGCGGTGCTCATCTCCGTTTCCAAGCCGAAGAGCCAGCGCTGTCTGAAGACGTTTCCGTGGTCATGTGGCCGGCATGACTAAACACCAAGGCGCACGGAACGCTGTTACCTTCCCACCGAAGTGGTACCTATTTATCTACTTGCAATTTCTTGCTTTCGAACTGCTAGGTTGGCAGGAGCTGGAACTAGAGACGGGAGCTCACTCCATCATGCGGCACCCGGGTCTCGAACTGCTGAACTACTGACCTTCCACAGCCTGCAGTTCAGTGTCTTAACCACTTGAGCCACCGCAGCTCCAAGCCTACCCAGTACAGGCTACCAAAGCTTCACTGAGGTGGGAGGAGAGGTCCAAGAGGCGGTTCGTTGTCATGGGTGTTGTTGTCCTGCGTTTCGTCACTGCCATTCCTTCTCTACACCCATTGAGACTTTTCAAAAGGTTAGCAAGAGAAAGTACCAGATATAGAAGAATGACTTAAGAAAGTGTGGTTTACGATGCTTACAGTGAGACTTTCTGCTTATTAAAGATTTGGGGAAGGGGGCAGGTTTTCCCAGTCATTTTATTCAAATTCGGCTTCCATTTATTATATATTGTGGGGGGGAAGACAAACAAACCAAGTGATGTTGTAAGAGATGGGATATTGAATAATGTGCACATTTCTGCTGTTTCCTTCTGTTTCCTTAATCTGTGCTGTGACTCAGCTGGTGGGCAACTTTCCAACTGTGTAACTATAGACCATTCAATAAACTTGAGCGTGAAAGGAAAAAAGACTTTGCAGAAGGTTAGAGTCTTGCCTACCAGGAGATGGAGTGGGAGAGCAGATTCACACATGCCCCATTTCCGTTTTCCCAGGTAAACAGGATTTTTAAAACTCATTATAATAAAAAATAAAAAAGAGCTGCCTGCGCCTCCACCAGGCCATATCCCCAAACATGGTCTCTTCCACCATTAATTTTTAATAGCGGCATTTGTCTTTTTTCAAGAGTTCCTATGGCTTTTCCACAATTACGCAAACAGCAAACTGAAATTAAGTAAAAATCAAATTAGAACTAACTGAGAAGCACAGATAAAATCAGTCCATTTCAGCAAACTGAAATTAAGTAAAAATCAAATTAGAACTAACTGAGAAGCACAGATAAAATCAGTCCATTGGGAATGGGGGAGGGGGAGATGTGCCCAACAATCTCGAAAAAGCCATTGTAAAGGAAGCCCTGGTGTTCATTTTAGGGCTTGTCTACTGGGATCCATCCAGGCAGTTCACGGCACAAACACAGCCACAAAAGTTGCTGAGGGCCTGGGTGTCTGAGAAGAGAGACAGGCTTAGAAGCATGAACCTTCCCTGAGCTTTTAGTAGGCCAGTCATTTGGCAAGCCAAAGAAACACCCATCTCCCTGACTGTACTTTGCAACCTGCAAACCAGTTGGCATCCCTCTGATAGGCTTTGATTGGCCTGTTTACAGGGTGGGCGGGGTATAAATATAAGTATAAATAAAAAAAATAAATATAAATAAATAAGTACACCCATCGGCCAGATCGCCACAGCACAGTGCAGGCACATGAAACCAGCCGTTCTACCCACATGCAGACAGGCGCAGGAGGAGCACAATGGGGAATATAATAATAACAACCATTAAGAAGTGCTGTCGTCGCAAGCAACTTTGGCGGCACCCCCCCCCATGGGCTTTTCAAGGCAAAAGAGGAGCAGAAGTGGTTTGCAATTGCCTTCCTTTGCATAGCAGCCCTGGTTGCCTTTGGTGGTACCAGCCATGACTAACCCCTGCTTAGCTTCCAAGCTCTGACTGGCCCCGGCTCAGCTGGGCTACTCAGGCAGCTAATAGGGAATACAGCAATATATTAAGTGGCACCTGGAACCAGAGCTATAATCCCACTTGCAGGTGATTGTGGGAGAAGAACCTCTTAGTAGCCTGGAAGGGGCCTCTGTCAGGGCGAGTAAAGCTAGGACTGGCCTTTAGAAATCTACAAGGGATTGGAAGCACTTGGGCACATCTTTGCCCTGAAACCCCCAGCCCCCTCATGCTGGAACAGCGTGCTCAGAAGCAAGAGAAAGGGACCATGCAGATGTTCAGAAGTACAATTTGTCTTTGGTACGCTGTATAATTCAAGGCACTGGTGCAAGGTTTAGGAATCTGAGTTATGCCAGGGAGGTGCTGGTTCAGATCTCACTTCAGCCACTGGGCAAGACACTCACTTTCAGCCCCTGGTTTCCAATACTGGCCTAACCAACACAGAATTACTCAGAGGGTGTTTGTGAAACACTCTGCGCCCAAGGAAAAGCAAAACTATTGGGAGCCCTGGGGACAGCACTGAAGCCTTCCAGCAGGGAATGGGGCAGTAGAGATAAGGCGGGAGGTGTGTGTGGGGGGGTGGCTGCTGTGGTCCACAGTTTGCCATCAGCTGCAATGGAATCCAGGCCACAAGAGGACACCGCCAGCCTTGGTACTTACAGGAATGGAGCTTGAAGAGAAGTTTAACGGTATAGTCGTAGAGGTGGCTGCAGTCGAGGATGACCTGGATCAGAGGGGCCAAACGGCACTGCCCAGCAGCGGTGACCGACACGGAGCGAGACATGTCCAAGGAATTGAACACTGTGAGGGAACCACAAAAAGACTGCACTCAGGGCTGACCCCTTGGGAATCACAGCCAGAAAAGCTTCGTGAGGTCAGTAAAGAGACGGGGGTGGGGGCCTTCCCCAACTCAGGTGCTGTAGCACGACGTGGGGCCACCCAGTTCCAGCTCTCCTCATCACAAGCCAACTGCTGTCTTGTCAACCTGTACTGGACCAAGCTTGCTTCTAACTCAAAGCATTCTAACTCACATCTTCTAACTCAAAGCATTGTATAGACACACTACTCTGGCAGCCTGGGCACTGTTTGTTTCAGACGTCCATGTGGAGAGAGGGTTTTTGCACCCCATCCCAAGAAGACCGAATGTCCCTTAGCGCTCCACTGCCTGTTCCAGTCATCTTGTTCAAGAAGAACAAACGTTTCCATGATTGCGGTCTGGGAAGAAAATCCGTGCTGCCCCCACCCTTATCATCTTTTTTGAAAACGCTGCATTTAATAGATGCTTCTGCATCTACGTTCCTCTTTCAACACAGACATCTGCCAAGCTCGCTTTTTACATCTTCTAACTCAAAGCATTGTATAGACACACTACTCTGGCAGCTTGGGCACTGTTTGTTTCAGACGTCCATGTGGAGAGAGGGTTTTTGCACCCCATCCCAAGAAGATCGAATGTTCCTTAGCGCTCCACTGCCTGTTCTAGTCATCTTGTTCAAGAAGAACAAACCTTTCCACGATTGCGGTCTGGGAAGAAAATCCGTGCTGCCCCCACCCTTATCATCGTCTTTAAAAACGCTGCATTTAATAGATGCCTCTGCATCTACGTTCCTCTTTCAACACAGACATCTGCCGATTTCTTTTCAAGAGAAGCTAAGCCTGGCCCTGTCATAGCCCACTCATCTCCTCCCCTGTTTCTTGGCACGCCGCACCAAGTTTCTGTGTATAATCGAGAAACTTCAGCATACCTTCGGAACCTAAAAAAACCCTTGACAGTTCCAGAAGGAGGAAGCATGTCGTGTAAAGGAAACATGCAAGCATCAGCACCGGGTCGGTGAGGGAGTCAATGCTGAGGTGGGCTGGATGCACTGGGAAGGGGTGGTGGTGGATTGCTGAGCTGTGTTAGTGACAGGCGTCTTAACGGGACATGCGAACGCAAGCCGTTTCCTTGGAAGGTCAGCTGGAGCTCTCCGCAAAGGGACAAGTCTTCTGGGAACCTGACAGTCCTCAGCTCCTTCTTGCTCCCCAATGATGAGAGAGAGAGAGAGAGAGAGAGAGGGCCACTGCCTGCCTCACCCGTGTAAGGCCCATTTTCTCCCTCTAGAAGGGGACAAACACCTCCCTCTCCCTTTACTCTGCACTGAATGCACAAAGGGAAAACTCCCCCCGGTAATGGAAAGCCTTTGTCTCCCACCTGGGCATCAGGAGACCATACAGCTGGTGGAGACTGTCAGGAAGTGGGACAGAGATTAGACCAGTGGACAATACGGGGCGGGGTGTGTGTGCACATCACACAGAAGGCAATCTATCACAAGGACACCAGGCTGCCAGAAAGCAGCACTGCTGGGAATGAGCAAACAGCCATTTTGAAAGTTATTTAAAAGGCAAGAACTTGTTACGCCGAAGCTTGCAGGATGGATTTTATTCCCTGCTGAAGTCACCCGGGCTGGCAGCCAAAACCCAGCAGGCACTGAGGAAAACACCTTTCCCGAGGGCCCCAAGGGTTGTGGCAGGCAAGGTGGAAAGAGTTCCAGAAGACCAGATGGCAGGGGCACCCAAGGCTGGGCTGGAACGGGTTCTGCTCCTTATGGCGCCAGACCTGACCCCAGCAAGCAAGGTCACATGAGGCAGCGTGGGAAGGCGGAAGACTATAAAGGAGAAGCCCCTCTGCAGGCCTGAAAGCTGCCAGCCTGCCTCAGAAAGCCACTGGAAGGGGCACAGTCATGGAGGCGTGGATGGAAAACAGATGAACTCAGCTGCCCTCGGTCCCTCCCTTCCTGCAGCCTGAGGCTCGGCTGCCTTCCCCAAACCACACCGCCAGAATCGACACCCTCACTCCACGGCCTTTAAAAAGGAGCAGGCACAGCTTCTGTGCCCTGAAGCTGGAGCAAAGAGCTGCTCTCATCCCAGTGCAAATGAAGGGATTTTCTTATGCTCTGGCCCCCTCCACCTCTACTTGGAATGTCTACCTCCCCCACCACCACCACCACAGTGGCTGTAAAGTCTCTAAGAAGGAGAGCAGAGAGAATGCCGAAACACCATCTTGGCTTCCCTGAAAATAATCTGTTTTCGCCGGGGGGGGGGCACCCAGCCCCATCAAGAGTGCATGAAATGGGAGGGACAATAAGGCACACCTCCTCGGCTAGTGCCTTACAGAAGCACCCCCTGTTCCTGGCACGGAGCTTTACCTGTCTGAAATAGGTTCAGTTCGCACTCCAGGTAATCAAACATCTCCACAGTGAGCTGGAAACTATAAGAGAAGGAGAAAGGGTGGAGTAAACGACAAGGTGACGTGGCCACACAACCAAATTTTGCAGTGTCCCCAGCATGCAAGCAAACAGCACCCAATGCTTCACTAGGGACCGGGCACTAACAAGAAGAAAAACTGGCAACAGATCTAACTGCCCTCCTACTTTTAATTCCTTTTTGTCACCTTGAAGGGTGGGCCACCCATGCCCTTTGTCCACCTGACCTCTGCCCCTACCTTATGTCAGGCCAGGTATACCACCCTTGAGGTGCTGGCCAGAGACATCAAGACCATCCAAGGGAGGGGGAGGCAGCAGCCAGGCATCCCTTCCGGCCTGCTGGAGCGGAGGAAGAAGTCCACCCCCACAGAGACTGGCAGGCTCTGGTTGCCAAGAGAGAGTCTGGCAAAACTATTTCTGGGGGATGGAGAGAGGGAATTTTTTACCCACGAAGGAGGAACAACCAATAGAAGAACGGTGGCAGGAAGACCTCCAGAACAGGAGAGAAGACACGGAGACATCTGTTGCTACTCTGTCATTTCAAATGAGGGAAAAATCCCTCGAGAGCTATACGTGGTGGAAAGCAAGCCCAATACCCCCCCCCCCATAAAACCCTTTCAAGTAAATAAGTCACACAGACGCGGCCAGAATTGCAGTGAGAAAACGAGTGCTCACGCCAGACCCGTGAGCCCTCTGCAAAGGCCGCCACCTGACAAGCAACACTTACAAATTATTAACGTCGTTCTCGCCCGTCTCGTCAAGTTGCCTGTCTGACATCTGGAGGTTTCCAGGGAACCTGGGATTCTGCCAGAAGAGGGGGGGGGGGGGAGACATGGACCAAGATTATTGGAAAGCACAATGGTGTCCTAACTAGAGATGGATCTGGAGAGATGTGCTCCCTACAAAGCACAACTGTGTTGCTTTCACCTCTCAAGGCTCACAGGCGTACAGATGTCCGATAAGGATGATAAGCAGGCCGCTGTGGGTTTCTAGGATCGCAGCCAGGGTTAGCTCTTGCCAGCTGAGGCTTAGGAATGCTTCATCACCTCATTGGGCAGATGGACATATATCATGGGGGATCCTCTTCCTCTCCTCCTCCCCCCTTGAATTTGGATGGTATCTCCTTCTAAGGCCCATTTTAAAAATTCAGGAAAGAAGGGGTGGGGGGAGAAGAAGGAGGAAGCATTTATTTGTTATTTGCGGGGACTCACATAATAAACCTCTGACCCAGAAAAGATAGAACACGAACGAAGGTTACAAAGTTATCCCTGGAAAAGTGGGCTTTAAGAAAACAGGATATCAGGAAACCAGCTAAGTTAATCCTGAAACTTGGCAGTGGCATGGCGACGCTTGGCCGCAGCTTCGGAAGCAGTCGTTCCCCTGTCATTAGTCAACAGAAGTATTTTTCCCCGTTCTTCACAGGCACCCTCCATTCACAGGAGTCTCACGCTGGTTCTCATTCACTCACAGAAGCTGCAGCCAGTTTGTTTATTAGGCACATACTTTTGGCCTTCCAACCAGAGGCCTGCGAAGCCCTCGCCTCGGGGCCCTAAGCAGAGCTTCCCGGTCCAGAACATGCAACAAGCCGCCCAGATTCCATTCTATAAATACTTGTCGTTTCCATCTCAATCATTCCCGAATAGGATGCAGCCGAGACAAACCAGCCGGCCTGAAGCCAATCACAACTTCGGCTGCAGCACAAAGTCTGGGAGGAGAGCTTGCGAAGGAGCCTTTCAGACAGTTTCGAGTCACTGAAGATGATGGACAACCAGGGAGAGCCCAAAAGCTGCATCATCACCCCCTGACCTAGTAATGTGCTCTGTGCGCGAGTGAAGGAGTCACATGCAGAAGCAGTTCTCTGTCTCCCTTTTTATGGTCATCTGGCCCTACCCTTGTTTTTGAGAATGGGCTCACAGATCTCTCTGTCTGCTAACTCTGCTGGACGGAGGAGGAGGAGGAATTTATACCCCGCCCTTCACTACCCGAAGGAGTCTCAGAGCGGCTTACAAACTTCTTTCCCTTCCCCTCCCCACAACAGACACCCTGTGAGGTAGGTGGGGCTGAGAGAGCTCCGACAGAAACTGCTCTTTTTCAAGAACAGCTCTGACAGAACTATGGCTTGCTCAAGGTCATCCAGCAGGTGCAAGTGGAGGAATGGGGAATCAAACCTGGTTCTCCCAGATTAGAGTCCGCGCACTTAACCACTACACCAAACTGGGTTTGGACATTCCTCTGGGTTGGGACATTCCTGGAGACATGGGTGAGGACCCTGGAAAAGGCAGGATTTGGGGAGAAGAGGGACCCTCAATAGGGTATCATGCCACAGAGTCCGGGACACAGGACGGAGGCGGCTCTGGTCGCTCTGACTGACGATCTCCGGAGGCATCTGGATCGGGGCAGTGTGGCAGTGCTCTTGTTGTTGGACCTGTCGGCTGCATTCGACACAGTCGACCATCAGCTGCTACTCCGCCGCCTCATCGACATGGGAATACAGGGGCTTGCCTTACAGTGGCTTGCTTCCGTCGGGACAAAGAGTGGCAATCGGGGAGCAACAGTCCAGGAGACACCCGCTGGAGTGCGGAGTGCCTCAAGGGGCAGTGCTTTCCCCGATGCTATTTAACATCTATATGCGCCCCCTTGCCCAGATAGCCCGAAGTTATGGGCTGGGGTGCCATCAGTACGCTGATGACACCCAGCTCTATCTGATGCTGGGTGGCCGGTCGAACTCCAGTCCTGGAGATCTGGACCGTGCATTACAGGCCGTGGCTGGTTGGCTTAGGCTGAGTTGGCTGAAACTGAATCCGGCGAAGACGGAGGTCCTGTGTGTGGGCCGGGGCAGTGCGCGGGTGGGGACCCCACTCCTGGCCTTCGGTGGGGCACCATTGGTCCCAGCGCCGAAGGTTAGGAGCTTGGGTGTGCTCCTGGACCCCTCCTTAACAATGGAGGCCCAGGTAGCAGCCACTGCCAAGTCGGCCTTTTACCATCTTCGGCTGATCAGGCAGTTGGTTCCCTTCCTCGACCGCAATGACCTGGCCACAGTGATTCAAGCGACAGTCACCTCGAGACTAGACTACTGCAACGCTCTCTACATGGGGCTGCCCTTGTTGCAAATTCGGAGGCTGCAGCTAGTGCAGAACGCCACGGCCAGGCTGTTGATGGGCTTACCTAGATGGGAACACATCCAGCCTGTGTTGAAGGCCCTGCACTGGCTGCCAATAGCATACCGAATCCGTTTCAAGGTGCTGGTGCTTACCTTTAAAGCCCTATATGGCCAGGGTCTGACATACCTGAGGGGCCGCCTTTCCCCACATATACCCCAGAGAGCACTGAGGCCAGGGTCACAGAATCGCTTGACCCTGCCGGGCCCCAAAGAGACTAGGCTCGCTGTGACGAGGGCCAGGGTTTTCTCAGTGGCGGCTCCTTACCGGTGGAATGAGCTCCCAGAGGAGATCAGGGCCCTGCGGGATCTATTGCAGTTCCACAGGGCCTGCAAGACGGAGCTCTTCCACCAGGCTTTCAATTAGGAGCCGAGCCGCCCCCACCACTTCCATCAATGAGCCCGGCCCTCAGTGCCAACATCTTGCCCTTTTTATCGAGCGACTCAGAATGACACTCAGCTGGAATCTAGTTGTCGGAGACATCTTAATACGCCATCATAAGCAATGAACTGTAGAACTGAAGAGCACCTTATGATTTCATGTTTTAACTTATTATGAAATTATGTATACTGTTTTATCGGTTTTATTGGCAATTGGGCCACTGCTGTAAGCCGCCCTGAGCCCGTTCACAGAGAGGGCGGGGTATAAGTTGAATTAATAAATAAAATAAATATCCTCCAAAGCAGCCATTTCCTCCAAGGGAAGTGATCTCTGTAGTCAGAACGTTAAAGACACACATGGTGAAATGGTTGCAGAATTCTGGGAACTGGTCTCTGTAGTCTGGAGACCCGTTGTGATTTGAGGAGATCTCCGGGCCTCCTTTGGAGGTTGGGAAGCCTAGCCAGCTCTACACATGCAGCAAAATGAGGTGAGAGATCCTGAGGTGGTAAAATGGACTCTCCCAGTTTAGACTGTGTGAAGGGAGGGAGATCATTCCCATCGCTAGTGGCCAGTGATGGACCTTCAGTCACCACAGCTAGTAGTCAGTGATAGACCTCTCCTCCATGAATCTGTCTAACCCCCTTGTAAAGCCATCCGCGCTCATGATTTAAAATGCTACCAATAGTGGCCGTGAATCCCACACTTTCATTACTATTGCCCATCGATAGTTAACAGGACAGATGAAAGGAAACACTTCTTTACTCAACAAGGTAATTAAACTGTAGTGGTTTGAGCCCAGCCTGTTCTCTGTTGTGCTGGTTGCCTACTTGGAAGGGTGTTCCCCCCCCCCGGTTTACACATAAAAGAGCACTGAAAAAATGTGATTACCTATAGTATGAAGTGGTACAGTCCGGTATAACGCCACAGAAGTCTGCCATTATGTGACCAGAGCTGCAAACCTTGAGACTATAATCATTTTTGGAATTCTAGGTAAGGGTAGCAGGCACCATCTTTTTAAAAAAAATGCTGCCATGGGAGCCCTCCCCTCTCCCCTTCAAATAAACAGGAGGATTTATATTTCCTTGGTGTCAGCCAGGGGGAAAAAACCCTCTCTTGCTCACCCCCACTGCCCCCAAACAAAACCCATTATACAAGCTTACAGGCTCTTCATTGTTAGCTTCAAGTGGGTTTGCGCTTGACCGCATGGAGCCCAAGCTGGCCACGCGGTCTAAACTGGGTATATTACAGTTCCCCTATCAGATTGTCTGATCCTGCAGAACTGCAGATGGTGATAAAGACCACCCATCACAACTTCTTTCCGTCGGATAAGTATTCGCAAGCTCAGGCATCACCTGAACATTTTTTCACACACACACACCCGTAAAACCTGACATTTCCCACTCTGCCCTCTACCGTTTCATGTCATGAGATCCTCCTCCAGTGCTTCTCAGATTTAATTTTATCCCTAGCTGTGAGGATCCTTCCCCCCCCCGCCCCCTTTCCTTTCTGCTGTTGGTGGCTCTGCTGCGGAGAAGTCATTCCAAGCAAACGCGTGGCCCTCAATGGAGGCAAAGCCGAGCTAACTGTGGATACTGCCTGGGCTCTCGACAAAGCAGCTGGGAGCTCCCCCTCAGCCCAGCCACGAGTGCAACCTCTCCATGTTCCCATCATTATGAGAACACCTGGAAGCCAGCTGAAGAGGGGAACACACTGGGATGAAGGACAGAGGAGAAAAAGAAGGAACTACTGTGCAAAGAAGACAACAGAGGAAAGAGTTAACAAAAAGGAGGAAGTGCAAACGGGGTGAAGAGGAGGAAATGGAGAAGAGGAGAACTTCAAAACAATTAAGGGAGGTGTCAGAAAGGGAGAGCAGCAAGCAGGCACCTGGAAACACAACGGTTGGATCAGGGCACCCACATGAACACGTGAAACTGCCTTCTATTGAATCAGACCCTTGGTCCATCAAAGTCAGTATTGTCTACTCGGATGGGCAGCAGCTCTCCAAGGTCTTTCACATCACCTAATGTCAGATCTTTTAACTGGAGATACTGGGTGTTGAATCTGGGGCCTTCGGCAAGCCAAGCAGATGTCCTACCACTGAGCCACAGCCTCTCCCTGATCCTTTGGCTCAGTGGAATAGAGGTAAGATGTGATGCCAAAAGCCCCTCCCCTCCCACTCTGATCAAGCAACTTAGTGGTAGAAAACGGGGGCCCGCAGGTCAGACAGGCTCAGAGGTCAACTTGGGCATGGGAAGTTAATTCCCAATGGGCAACTATGCCATATTCGGTCAGACCCCAGAGGATAAACAGACCCAGATGAGATGCAGCATATCAGTGACCGTCTTCTAAAAAGATTCCATTGAAAGGACAGTGGTGCCTCTGGAAACAGTGGAGAGAAGATCTAGACAGCCCTGCTCTCTGGCATGCCCCACTCCTGGACTCTGATGTCAGTGGCGTAATCCCAACTCTTTTTTTTTTTTTAAGCCCGATAACTGCTTCTTAAAGTGTGAGGAAGCATGACGCAGACTACCTTTCCAAAACAACACAGCCGGATCCACACATTGCCCAGATTCTGTCCATGTTGTTCTGCTCTCTCTCATCCACATGAGAAAAGTCAAGACCCAAAACTCCTGTGATTCAGTGAGCGGCAAAATCCAGTTTCCACGTGGTACTAAATCCATAGTGGGGCTATTCTCACCTCTTCCTTTAACTGGAGGCATCCCAGCTTCGTAAGGCTGCCAGCTCCAGGTTGGGAAATACCTGGAGATTTGGGGGGTAGAGCCTGAGGATGGCGGGGTTTGGGGAGGGGAGGGGTATAATGCCCTACAGTCCACCTTCCAAAGCAGCCATTTTCTCCAGGCAAACTGATCTCTGTCACCAGGAGATCAGTTCTAATAGCAGGAGTTTTCCAGCCACCACCTGGAAGTTGTCAAACCTACAACTTTGGTGTCCAGCTACTGCTTTGTGATCTTTCCTGGGCTCCTTGGGTCTGACTTTCAGAAGGCAGGGAAAGCAGCAAGGACCCCCCCACACACACACACCCGGCCCATGCAGTCAGGGCTGCCGGGTTTTGGAGGAGAAAGAAAAGCCACCTACTTTTGTGTGGAATTCCATCTTGGTTCTCAGCAGTTTGAGGTAGATGCTGCACAGCTGCCCATAACCCTCGCTCAGGTGGCCCTGCGGAGGAAGGAAGAAGGCCTTTGCTGTCAAGAGCCCGAACCCTGGGATGCCTTGGTCTAGCTCATACCCCTCTCCCTAGGCACCCAACAGGCCTGCAATGTGCAAGATTTAAGGCAGAAGCATAACCTAGGTTTTCTGAAACCTGCTCCCCTCAAAACCCTGTCTATAGGATATATTACAACAGGACCACTGTAATAGCTAGTAAAACAGTAAATCACAATTAAACAATATATGTTGGTTTTTATATGCAATGTTTAGAATTCAATTATTAACAAAACTACCAATTATTATATGCTGTAGACCCAGTCACATTAGAGCTTGCTATAGGAGCTCCCCAGTCACCAGAATCTATGTGCGGTGGCGTACTCAAAAAATTGTATAAGAATTAGCATTTTGAAATATGGCTTGCAGCACTTCATTCTAATGAAGAAATAATTACAGAATGACAAACCTGAAGAAGGACACGCAGACGTATAGTGTACTAGAACTCCGTCGTTTGTCTGTAACTAGTACTGTATTACTCTGTATGCACTGCTAAGCTTTATATTGCGTATTGTAGTGTTATTGTTGTAATTTTGTTAATAACTGAATTCTAAACACTGCATATAAGAACCAACAAATATTGTTTAATTGTACACGGTGATTTACTGTTTTACTAGCTACCCCTCAAAACCCTGGCAAGGCATCACTGGCAATCTGTAGGTCACCCTAGTCTACTCTTGCCCGCATCACACACACATGCACGCACACTGCGGCCTGTGTTGGAATCAGGACGGCCCTCCCTGGGCACATAGGAGCATGCAGAAGCTCTGTGTGCACATCTGTGTGTTAAATGCTGCCAAGTCACTTCCGACCTATGGCGACCCTATGAATGAATGGCCTCCAAAACGTCCTATTGTTAACTGCCTTGCTCAGGTCTTGCAAAACGAGGAATTATTCAGTCAATCAATCTCATGTTGGGTCTTCCTCTTCTCCTGCTACCTTCAACTGTTTTGTAGTAGCGGCTGCTATAGCTATGCCTCATTGCTGTGGACTAGGGGAAAGCAGATACCCACCTCCCTCCCTCAAACTCAGCCGCTGACCCCTAGAAGGAGGAGGAGGAGGAGAAGAGATTGCATTTTTATATCCCGCCCTGCACTTGGAGTCTCGGAGCGGCTTACAATCCCCTTCTCTTCCGCTCCCCACAACAGACACCCCGTGAGGTAGGTGGAGCTGAGAGAGCTCTTTCAAGGACTGCTCTTGAGAGAATAGCTCTGAGATAACTTGTGACCGACCCAAGGTCACACCAGCAGCTGCACGTGGAGGCGTGGGGAATCAAACCTGGTTCTCCCAGATTAAAGTCCGCACTCTTAACCACTACATCAAACTGGCTCCCTGAACAACTTCTCACCAGTAAAGTACCTTGAAGGTAGCACCACAAGGACCACCGGCACAAGGCCCCAGTACACAGTTGCCCTTGGAGCAGCACCCTTGCTGAAGCTAAGCAGGTCTGAATGTGGTCACTGCCTAAAGGGGAGAGTTCCTGGCATCCCCCTCTGTCCATTGCCTCCATAAATAAAGGCCTGGCCAAAGAACCTTCTCCCAGGGATAGATTGGATCTGTGTCAGTATGACCTATGAATAAGCAATCAAAACCAAGGGCATCCAGTTGGTGTCTGGGATCAGTACACTGAGCAAAACCAAAGAGGCATCTCTGCCCACAAGCTGCCCTCCCTTCAAGCTCAGATAGGCACTCACCAGTCCAGTAACCAGAATTTTTTGGCTGGTGGGGCTGGGGCCAGGTCGCTGGGGCAGGGAAGCGGGTAACAATTAGATTAAATGGGGGAGCGAAGGAAAGAGAGAGTGAAGGCATGCCAGTTTGGTGTAGTGGTTAAGTGTGTGGACTCTAATCTAGGAGAACCGGGTTTGATTCCCCACTCCTCCACTTGCACCTGCTGATGTGACCTTGGGTCAGTCACAAGCTCTGGCACAGCTGTCCTTGAAAAAGAGCAGTTTGTGTCAGAGTTCTCTCAGCCCCACCTACTTCACAAGGTGTCTGTTGTGGGGAGGGGAAGGGAAAGGACTTTGTAAGCTGCTCTGAGACTCCAAGTGAAGGGCAGGGTATAAATCCAATCTCTTCTCTTCTTCTTCTCTCTCTTTCCTTCTGCAGCTCCCCCTCCCCCCTGGGAAGGGGAGGCCTGGCCGAAGGAAAGGGGAAACCCCCCCCCACTTCTGGTCGGTTTCACCCCCATGGGATCCACTGTTTAACCTAACAGCTGATATGCTCAGAGTGAAACTGACCAGAAGTGGCAGGGGGCTTCCCTTTCCTTCCCCAGCCTCCCCACTGCTGTGAGGTGAGGCGCACTAGGGGTGGGGGGTCTGGGGGCCCTGGCATCCTCCCAAGGTGGGGCAGGGCTCGTCCATGGTAGAGTTCCACCCCCCCAAAACACCCCACCATGGCTACAGGCCTGGCACTCACCCACATGCGGCTCATGTCGTTCAGCTCGCTCTTGTACCTCACGGAATCCTTCAAGACCTGCCAGAGGAAAGGAGATGAGAGAGCAGCCATCGGAGGCCTCCGTGCCACATCAGCAGAAAGAATATGAGTACTGAAAGGGCTGATTAACAAGTAGGCAAATCAAAATAACATTATATGCAGAGGACCTACCAGTGTCAATCTCAGACGCCCAGTAAAATCATTAGAAAGAAGCCCTGGCCCTACCTGTGAGGCCATAACACTTAGCCATGGTTTGTTTTCCTTAGCCACGGTCGAAGCAGGACATCTGAATACCTAAGTTATGGTTACAGATTTGAATGCGAAAGCAAGTCTGGATGTGGATTTGCAAACCACTGTTAGCGTTAGTCATGGTTAAGTGCTATATTCACAAATTATGGTTTAAGGTTGTTTCCGTGCCTCTCTAGCTTCTTTGTTCACAAAGCAATGGTCAAGTCTTACCATGGTCTCCTGCACACTCCCACTAAGGACCGAGCTTAGGTTCAACAAGCTCAACAGTGGTCTTGTGGTACAACTGGTGTCTTGTGCAGGGTTAATAGGATTAGTGTGAACCATGGCTAAGTAATATGTCTGCACTGGGCCAGCCTTTGAAATCATCATAATATGAAGATGCCAATATAAATTAAAAGGAAAAAAATCATTCATGCTTGGAATAAACCAATTTAAAACCCCAAATTGCTTCAAGGAATAATGACTGGAGGATAACCTGAATGTATTCAACAGAACAAATTACCACTCAGCTGAAAAAAAACCCGGAAGGCAGACCTAGGAAGTTGGAAAAAATGATATTTATCAGAGTTTGTAAAGGTTATCAATGAAACTGAGAGTTCTTCCAAAGTCTCTGTATCTTGCTGAAGCACGAGGCAGGAAATGCTGAACAGACTTCTGCAGGCCAGGCACTGGCCAGATCATATAACTGGGCTTCCCTCCAACAGGACATTTGGGTGCCTGAAGCTGGAAAACCAAAAAAGAGACCAACAAAGGGTACAACCCCGTGGGAATTTTCACACTGCTCCTGTGCATTCCAACAAGACTTGTGCAAGAGAACGGCACAGCGGATTGGGCCCAACTGCAACTGCAACCTCTGAAACAGTGTGTGTGTGTGTGTGTGTGTGTGTGTGTGTGTGTGTGTGTGTTAAGTGCCGTCAAGTCACTTCTGGCTTCTGGCGACCCTAGGAATTAATGGCCTCCAAAATAACCTATCGTTAACAGCCCTTCTCAGGTCTTGCAAGCTGATGGCCGTGGCTTCCTTTATTGAGTCAATCCATCTCCTCTTGGATCTTCTGCTTTTCCTGACGCCTTCAACTTTCCCTAGTATTATGATCTTTTCCAGAGACATAAGAAGAACCCTGTTGGATCAGACTAATGGTCCACCTAGTCCAGCATCCTGTCTCACACAGTGGCCAACCAGTTCCTCTGGACAGCCAACAACAGGGCACAGAGGACGAGGCCTTCCGCTGATGTTGCCTCCTGGCTCTTGGATTCAGAAGCTTAGTTCCTCTGAACGTGAAGGTTCCCCTCAGTCACCATGGCTAGTAGCCATTGATAGACACCATCCTCCATGAATCTATCTATCTAAACTGCTTACTCCTGTGGCCCTCACTACATCCTCTGGCAGCGAACCCCACATTTTAATCACCCTCTGTCTTCTCATAATGTGACCAAAGTAGGATAGCCTCAGTTTAGTCATTTTAGCTTCTAGGGAGAATTCAGGCAAACCTGGAAGGCTATAAAAGGCAAGACTACTAGTTCATCTACAGGATTTATTTTCAATTTTTGTTGTTTTGGTTTTTGTGCTGGATTATACTGTTCCATAGAGTCGTGTTAACTACTTTTTTTTTTTTTACTTAGAAGCTCCTCAGTTGTCTCCAAGTCTTTCAAATGAACTCAGGGCTGTCGCCAGCACAACTATCAGCACAAGATGCTCAACAGCATGAGAAGGATTATGGAACACAACGTAACAAATACCAACAAATCCTAAAACAGCAGTGTTGCTCTAATTTACTTGTGTGCACACAGACATACACATGCAGTTAGCCCAAATATTACCACCTTTATTAGCAAGTTCATTGTTGCAACCAAGGCAGTATGATTCAGGCCATAACAGTAAAATTTCCAACAAGCCCAGCTATGGGTCAGAAAGCTATGCAATGGTGCTTGAATGAAGGGGAAGAAAAGCTGTGCTCATGAACTATATTTACTCAAAAAGAAGACATTCCTGAATGTAAGATGATCCTCACCTCTCTCACTATTACACAATTTTTTTCATTACTGGACATAACTGTAACTCATATAAGTTCTTTGGGGGGAAGGGACAACATACCTGGGGAATAAAAACCTATAGTCTTGCTTTTGAGCAAATACAGTTTTTGTGAAGGTTAGGTGGGCTAATTTGTCCGGGGTGGGTGCACTTGGCAGTCCAAACACGCAACAAAATGACACTGCTCTCACACACTGTCCCCAAAACCCCAGCACATGTAACCCCCTCCCCCAACTCCTCAGCCAACAACACTCTGCCAGTAGCCTTCTCTAAATGAGGGCCAATTTTGACTCCTTGTTGGATACGGACTTCATCATAGCAATCCGGGCATACAGAACAGAGCTTTTGGAAAACAGAATGGAATCAGGAACCACCAACCATCTCCTCCCCAGAATCTCACTTGCAGTTAACAGGCCACTCAGATCCCACCTCAACCGCAGGGGCTTGGGAAGAAGGGAGAGAGAGGGGAGGGCAGCCTTACGTTTGGGTGTCCATCACGGAGGAGCTTGTGGAAGACGTGGCAGAATTTCCAACAGAGGACAGCATTGCTGGAGAGAGGCAAGCGGTTCACGACAGACCAGAAGGTGTGGGCTCCTTTCTCGTGGTGCGTCCCCAAGATACATGGTGAGAAGAAGGCTAAGGAAAAGTCTGATGTGCCAAAGAAAAGGAGCACAGGGGCTCCTCAGGGGCACGACGGCAAAAATAGGCAACACCCACGGGCAGAGGGGGAGAGGGAGCCCTGGGCAGCCGAGGAGCAGAGCCTGCAATATCCATCTTGACACCAGCTAGAGTGACCAAGAAGTTCCCCTCATTGCCCACCAATCTACTTATGGGTACCTCACCCCACCAGCAGGATGTGGACCTTGAAGCCTAAGCAGGAATTGGGGAGTCTGGCCTGCAGATGGGTCTGTTTATCCTCCTTGTGGAATGACCCATAAGCCTCCCCTGGAAGGCAGGAGCCATCCCCTCCAGCAGGTGGGACGAACTTGCTAGACACCTCAGCTAGTGCCCTTTGGCCAAGAGCCAGCCTTCCTTGCTCCTTGCAGATGGCTTGCCACGCTTTGCAGTCCGGAGTGGGGGAACAGGCCATAGCCTTGGGGCCGGCTCAGCCCAAAGAAACCCCTTTCTACTGCCTAAGCTCCAATCCATTAAACTTCAAAGAAGGTGCTTCAGAGTGCCTGCAGAGAGCAGCACTCCCTCCAACATCCAAACAACAGAAAAACCCATCAACCCATAGCTAGGATTCAGAGGGAAAGTCTTCCAGCAGCCTGGAGTCCCAGAACGGCCTGTTTTATAGCGCTTGTCCCCCTACCCCTGAACCCAAGTAACTCAGCTCATCTTGGCCAAGGCTTTGGCAGGATGGTTGTAAGCTCAGCCCCTGGCAGTTTCTACCTCCGCCTCTTCCTTTCAGGGCTGCTAATTTGAGAGGATATTTCTGGCGTGCTTCTCCTTGACGGCGACTTCCTGAGCATTAATGGCCTTGTTGATGCTGACAGTCTGAAAAAAAAGAGAGAGAAGAAGGGGGGAAAACAGAGAAGGGAAGAATTAGCAGGAAAGACCGGGCCCACAGGCCAACAGACAGGCCACCCCCACCCACCCCCAGAGCACCTGTCGATGGCTGGCACCAGCCTCCCATGTCCGCTGCACTCTGCCAATTCCTGGATCCATTTCTGGGAAGGATCTGGCAGCCGCCTTGCTCAACGACAGCTGCAAAGAGCTGCTCACTCAACACACTGGTGAAGCTATCAGATGAGACTACCAGGGAGACTGGCTAGAGCTGAGGGAGGTCAAGCCAGGCTAGTCATCCCAAGCGCTAACATGGTCTGGATGGAGGCTAGCTCGGCAGGCCCCCCTGAGGGAGAAGGAAAGGTCGGGCTTCCGGGAGAACCTGGAAGCGATGCCTGTGGACAGGGCGGGTGCCTGGCCTTGGTGCCAAGCCTCCAAGCTTCTCCTCCAGCCAGGGCACCTCAGTGCCGACTCTGCCGTCTCCCCTTCGCTCATATCCTCACGCGGTTAAGGCAGTGGGGAGTGGAAGTTTTCTGTGCTTGTTCGGAAGTCTTTAGGGAGAGGGAAAAGGCTTCCGAAGGACAGCCGCCCCACCAACCACGTCTACTGCCCTTGCACACAGTTTGTTTATGTGAGAGTTGCCTGCCTTTGGGCAGTGGGGGCGGGAGTCAGGTGTCAGTGCTGACAGAACTGGCAGTACAACAGAGTGGCCAACCACAAATTTCCTGGCTCCACTTCTGGCGACCGGGAAGGGCGCACCCTGTTTAGAGGCTGCTCTAGGCTTGATTTCCACGGAGGTCTGTAGAGGGATGCTGCCTCCTCTATGTCCTTGTCCTGACAAATTAGTCCATTGCAACAGCCTCAGTTTTCTTCCCTGCAATTCCCACACTGGCCCTGCTCCTACTACTCCCTCATTGCCTGGTCCAGTCCATCAGAAGACGGTGGACTGGACCAGCCACCTAACGTCCTACAAATATTTATTTATTTATTCTTTAGATTTGTATCCCGCCCTCCCCGAAGGCCCAGGGCGGCTAACAAGGGCATAAATGCCAGATTTAAACAATAAAAACAATATAAAAATACAATAATACAGCACAATACAGTTATTAAAAATAGTAAGAATAAAAATATCGGTGCTCCAATACACTCCGAATCATAAAACCAAGATGATGTTCTGAAGATGTTAGAACAGAACAACAACAGTATATGTCCCCCCAACCCTGTCATCCGCCAGGGACATCTCGCACCCCCGGTGATACCCGCACCAGCGGTGGTAGAGTGCTGTGATGGAAAGAGCGTTGATGGAATAATGGTGGAATAAGCATATGGAGCAGAGGTCCATCAGTGGCTATGAGCCACAAGGTATAGATAGGGGCTCTGGGGCAAGTGATGCTCTGTCTTCTTGGTGCTTGGGGGGGGGGTCAACAGTGGGAGGGCTTCTAATGTCCTGGCCCCACTGGTGGACCTCCTGATGGCACTGGTATTTCTGGCCACTGTGTGATACAGAGTGTTGGACTGGATGGGCCTTTGGCCTGATCCAACATTGGCATCTCTTATGTTCTTATGTTAATAAAGCCACACCATGCCGCACAGCCGCTGCAGCCATTCCACGAATGGCAGGTATGGCTGAGAGGCCACAGAGAGGCTCCTTGCAGTGACTCTTCCATGGGGTTTTATTCAACGGAGCAGGGGGAGTGCGCAAAGCCGAGCATTTCCTAATAAGGACGGACGAGGCTGCTTGAGCAATCTGAAGGTGCAGCTTTCCTGTTCACGGATCTCCGCGCTGGAGGAAACAAACAAGCGCCACGGATCCAGAACAGAGAAGATCGCACATTTTACCAGCAGCAGCACTTTCCATCCTCCCCCAAGGGAATGACTCAGCATGATCTGCTGCCAGGCTCCATGTGCAGCCATCCTAAAGGAAATACATGTTTGCATTCTTGCCATGTCTGGAATTGCAGGTCTTATTCTAAAGACTGGGGAGGGGGGAAGGGAGGGGGGGCCCAGAAGGCTGTCTTGCCAAGAACCTTTTCCTACCCTGAACTTCTATCGCTTCGCCTCCCCACTACCTGTCATTTATTTATTTCATTTATGTGGCCTTTCTGTTGACCCACATCCAAGGCAACTGATAAAACAACTGAGATGCTTACAATAATGCTTACAATAATTTAAAACAGGTTTTAAAAAGAAAAACCGTGCTAAAACCTAGGGGTGCCAATCAATGTTCCCTCTAAGCCATGGAGTCTCATGAGCAAAAATCCTACTTTGTGAACTACTGGCATTAAAGTTGTGAGTGAGCAATTTGGCCGCTGCATAAATTAGTTTGCTCTGGAGCCCTCCTTCCTGAGCTAAGATAAAAATGTCTGAGCCAGAGGCTAAAAAACTGTGAGCTAGCTCACACTAACTCAGCTTAGAGGGAACACTGGTGCCAATCTCCAGGTGAGGGCGGGAAATCTCCTGAAATTACAAGTGCTCTCCAGACTACATGAACCACTTTTTCAAAACATTCGTTCCACTTCTCCTGGAGAAAATAGCTGCTGTTGAAAGTGGACTGCATGGTCTTATCCCCTACCCAGGTCCCTCCCCTCCCCAAGCCCCGCCCTCCTCAGGTTTCATCCCCAAAATCTCCAGGTATTTCCAAACCTGGAGTTGGCAACCCTGGTTAGAACCTCAGGCATCAGATTTCATTCCAAGGCCCCCTACAATAGACATGCTTCTGGATTATGCAGGGATGGAGCCAGTCACACTTCCTGGGGATGGGAGTTCCACAGATTCTTTCTTTTTAGGGCATTCCTAGGCCACCTCTTCAGCAAGCAACATAAGAACTCTCCATAAAACAGGAGAAGGGCATGAAAAAGCTGGTAAGATTTTAAAAACCCTAATCAAAAGCCTGGATAAAAGATAAGTGTTCTTGCCTGGCACCTCGATGAAAGTAAATTAGGTGCCAGATGAGCCTCAAAGGGGAGAGGTCCCAAAGGCAAAGTGTCGCCACGGGAAATGCCCTGTCTCTCGTCGCCACCCGCCTCAGCTCTGAAAGTGGGGGCACAAGGAGCAGGACTTGAGAAGCAGATCTTAACTGGCAGCCTGGATAGCATGGTGTCAGGATCTTGGTTAAATCAGTTCTCAACACCTGTCAAGTTTGGAGAAAGCTAACTTTATTGAGACAATTGAGAAGATACCATCCTGGACACTTCTATTGTTAGGACTGAAGTTGAATGCGCGAAGGTTGCAGCTACAGTGGATTCAAGTAAAGGCACTAAAGATCAGGACCCAATCACCCCACGGTATTTGCCTGCCAGAACTAACGGTCAGCTCCCCCCCACCATAGGCATGTAGCCCATAGCAAGGAAAACAGGATCACAGACATTTGAGAAGCCAGGGCATCTGGCACCGCTAAGGCAGGTGAGCTGTAAAATGCAACATGCACAGGGAGCCTGACATATGGGAGGCTACGGCCCTTCGGGTACCCTGAGCCCAGAGGGCCCCTCCCACACACAGACTCCCAGCAGCCAACCAAGCTTCACTGTGGGCTAGTTCAGGGCTACTCAGAGCACCTCGACATTTTGCCTTGCTAAACAGAGCCAAACGTGCCATCCACCCCATTACAGAATCAAACAGGGGTGCCAGCCTCCAGGTAGGACCTGGGGATTCTCCAGAATTACTGCTCATCTCTGGGCCACATAGATCAGTTCCCCTGGAGGAAATGGATGCTTTGAAGGGTGGGCTTTGAAATTGACTTTGAAGGGTGGCACTGTATCCCACTGAGGTCCTTGTCCTCCCCAGGTTTCACCCCCAAATCACCCTATGTCCCCCCACCCCCTACCGCTGGCCCCAGGGGATCTGGCAACCCTAGAATCAAACCATGAAGCTCACCTAAGATGATCAAGGAAGGCTTTTCTTCCATCGAACGTTCGAACGTTCTAAAGGAATTCTAACACCTGACTACCAAAAGCAGAGCAAACCATGCTAGAGACTAGGCAAAACAAGCTATGCCCGAGGGGAAAGCAAGAAATATTGAAATAAATCTCCCTTCTTCAGTCAAACAAGCCTTGTTGACTTATTTCCCTTTCTGTCCTCATCAGGGCCACCAAGACAGCTAACAGATTTTAAAACATACACAATAAGAACACATCTTAAAAACCATTAAAATCAAACAAAAACCAAGTTAAAATTCACATACCATACAGTGTAACAGGTGCAATGCACACCACCATCTCCACCTGCCACAATCCCCCAATACCTTCACCTGCCAGGAAAATGGTTCAGTGGCTCAAATCAGTTCATCCCACTTTGGCATGGCTACAAAATTCCCTGACTTGGATGGCCCAGCCTGGCCCCACCTCATCGGCCCTCGGAAGCTCAGCAGGGCCAGCCCCGGTTGGTACTTGAATGGGGAACCACCAAGGGAGTCCAGGGTTGCTACAGTGAGGCTAGCAATGGCAAATCATCTCGGTTTATCTCTTGCCTCGAAAACTCTCCAGGGTCACCATAAACCAGTGGCAACTGGCCCGCACTTTCCACCACCAGAAAACTCCCAGGCACAGGATCACCTATGATGCTAGCAACCTGTTGCAATGCTGGCCCCGAAAGTAGGATCCTGCCTCCTGGCAAGCCAGATGATTTTTTCCCCTAGTCCTCCCAGTGGGAAAACTACATTTGCACTTGAACAAGATTATCAGTTTGGACATTCCCCAAAACCCACAGAAGTCCCTTTGCCTTACCATAAGGCATTTATGCTTCAAATGCCATGTGATAGTTCCCTTTGCTGTCCCCACAAAGGAGCATTATCATCTGGGGAGAGGGGAGGAAGCGGAAGTCTCACACTCCAACTGCACCGACAGCCAGCAAGGGCGCTTTGAAAAGCCTGTGCCTCCAAGGACGCCTTTGCCCAGCTGCAAGCCCTGAATGAAGTCTCTCTGCTTAAGCTGCCACGAGATGTTGGGGGGGGGGGATGACATGCCGCACAGGACCAAATTCTGAAGCCCAATTTC